GGTCGGTGTGAACCCGGCACGTGGGATTGGGGTGTTTCACCATGGATGTCATTGCTGGAGTTACTAGTCTCCCACTGGTGAGCTCAGCACGATTTTCTGCGTGTGTGTATAGGAGTGAAAGTGGTGCGTGTCTTATTGATTGATTTAGTGTATAGTGCTTTTTGTTTGCTGCATGTGAAACATTCCTTGTGTTGTGTTGGGAAATCCAAATGTTTTTAATGTGGAGCGAACTATTGTGTTAATTGATATAAAAGTAAACTTTCATTTTTGTATTGGACCACTGTCTCTGGCTAAATCAATCAATGAACTTGAGTGCCTTGGAAGAACAAAGTAACAAATTCTTTGGGTGTGAGTCATATCGTGGCGTAGTCTGCTAATTGTCTGGACTTAAGCCCTGTTAATTATATTCCTGTTATATTATCTGCCACATATGGTTAACTATTACAAAGTCTAATCACATACATACCCCCCCCCCCCCTCCCAAAAAAAAAATAATACAATTAAATAATTAATAATAATAATAATAAAAATATATGCTTGGAACCCAACCAAAAGAGCACCTTCTGGGATTAACGTTATTTATCTGGTCCTTCCAGCAAGTATAGCGCTCTAAAATGTTTTCTTTGGTCTGTTTTTCAAAAAAAAAAAAAAAAAAAAAAAAAACGACTTAATAATTTCAGTCTTGAAAGTTTGGTAGTTTTTTGTTTTTAATGTTGCTTTGGTAAGTAGCCTATCTTGGATAACATTTTTCTCTCACCGGACTGTTGTCCTGCCAGGCGGTTCATAAGGTAGGATTTCCCCGTACGGTAGAGTCCCACCACAGACACCACCACCACCGGCTCCTTGATCCCATCCAGAATATCTTTAGCCTGTTTTCTAACACACAGCTTCCCATTCTCATCATTTTCAATGAGACACACCGGGGCGGACATGAGCCCTCCACACGCCATGACTCTGAAAACAAAAGTAACGCACGATTTACATAAAAATAATACATCTGAATGTTTAATAGGCCTAACGTTACCTTGAAAGTGATTTGGAGCAAGGAGACTGCAACGTTAGCGAAGAGATTTGTTTTTAAAGTAGGCTAGGCTACGGATCTTTATTTAAACTGCACAATTCAGTTGGGCTAAGGCTCCTCCCATCGTTAAATTTGTTATTCTGAGTCATTACCAGACACGCTATCTTAGAGAATAATGCTGCTGCTGCCGAGTGAAAGTGAAAGTGAAAGCATGCACACTTGATTGGGGTGCTCAGTCGAGTCAGGTTCCGTTTTCCCAGAATTCACCCGTTTTATTTAACCTGCAAAAAAAAAAAAAAAGAAAGAAAAAAAAGCCGTTTCTCAATGCCAAGTCAATAATATCTGTCTGCCCCTTCTCTGCCAAGTACGCACTTCGGACTTGCGTCCTTGGCAGTTGGTTCGAACTTGGTAGTTCGGGCCAACGACTCAGGAGAACGAACTCGCGAGGACGCGTCCGGTTATTCTGCAAATGGAACAGAGTCACGTTTGATGAGCTGCATAAGGCACAGACATGTCCCAAAATGTGTTTGCAAATTTGATTATTCAATTATAAATAATCAATATTCAATTGATTATGTATTTGATTATTATTAAATTATTCATTCAAGTGTTCTTGTTAACATGGTAGGCTATATGATAAAACATTTTTTAAAAAAAGAATAACATACTATTTTAATAATTTTTCATTAGTTCATAGTCGATTTCACATGTCCATGTTGACCAACATGACATATAAAATATCACCAAATAAGTTATGTATTTTTTTTAAACATCTATTATTTTTAGGATCATGTTCCTTTTTCACATGAGATATATTTTATGTGAAAAGGGAATATAAACCTTATTTTTTTGTAAATATTTTGTCATTTTTGTTCGTCCCCCAGTTTGACTTACCATCCTGACATCACAAAATGGAAGTGAGATCATTGGAGCCTTGTTGCCGCCAAGAACAAAAGCAGGCAAGGACTGACATTCCTCTACATTCTTTATTTGTCGATTTTTCATGTTTGGCAGGTTCTGTCAGGCTTAAACCAACACTGTCACGCAAAATAGAGAGGGAAAACTGATTTTTATTTTTTATTTTACATTATTAATGCAACATATATATATTTCATATAGAATGCATGTATGCTAGACGAGGAACTTGACCATGGGAGATCTGCGGCCGTTTTGGGTTGAAAATTACCACCCCGTCCCCGTCAAAGAGAACAAGAACAAGAGGCGAAACTCTGATGCTTTATTGGGTAACAGCCACTAGATAGCGCTTCGGTAGCGCGGCCGCCATATCGGGGTGAAAATTCCAACTGGAGAATTGGACAACAGCACAGCTAACAGTTTTTTTAAGGTAGTTTTTTTTTCTTGCATTAGTGAGCATTTCCATTGTATGCAACTTTACATTTTTACTACTATTATTAGTTACCAACTCCACTTGGCCTGAAATATATTTTGGACGTTTTAATCCCCTGGATCATGCTTCAAACATGATAATCATTGACGTCACGAAATGGGCGTGGCTGCGAACTGGTTGGCAGAAAGAACCAAAATGCAGCAGTCTATGTGTTCTGTCAGCAAAATGATAATTCTTTGTACGAAAAAGCTAAAAGGAGATATAAGGTAAAGCTTTTATATAACCAGGGTTCATGTTCTATGCCTGATCCATCGCCTGAGTGAGAATTGGAGCAAATTTAAAGCCCTAACACATGGCCACATTTGACATTCGGCGACATCTACTGTATCTCATCGATGCAATCTATTATCAGAGTCAATGAAGGCATACAAATCTTTAGATGCCCATAAGTCATAATTACGAATATTACTTGAATTAACTGGATAACTGGTAAGTTGTTACAACTAGAGTAAAATAGAGGTATAGGCTAATTTGTCCATGGGCTATATTTTGAATCAATTAGCCTATCTTATATAACATTGGTCAACATATACGTAAAAATGTATCAAAGAAAATACAATTTGCCCTTAATCTATAAGGGTGTGTACGCAGATGATGCACTGACTGTACAGTACCCAATCTTTGGGTTAAATATGACTTTATAATACTGTGCGGCAAAGGGCCATTACTTTTCTGCCAACCAGAGCACATAACCACGTCGTGACGTCATGGGCGAAGATCCCATTAAAGGGTTAGTTCACCCAAAAATGAAAATTAAGTCATTAATTACTCACCCCCATGCTGTACCAACCCCGTAAGACCTTCGTTCGTCTTCGGAACACAAATGAAGATATTTTTGATTAAATTTGAGAGCTGTATAACTACCACATTGGCTCCTAAGGGACTGCCTCTTGACGGCCCAAAAAGTCAATGAAGAAAATGTTTAAATATCCCAAGTGACTACCGTGGCTCAACTATATGTTTACCAAGCGACGCGAATACTTTTTGTGCGAAAAAACAAACAAAAATAACGAGTTTATTCGACTATTTTTTTCTTCCTTGTAGGCCAGAACGAGACTTCCTTATAGATTTCCACGACGCATGCGCGAGATTTGCGATCTGAAGTAGTGTAAGCTGTGTACGCAGATCGCAAATCTCGCGCATGCGTCGTGGAAATCTATAAGGAAGTCTCGTTCTGGCCTACAAGGAAGAAAAAAATAGTCGAATAAACTCGTTATTTTTGTTTGTTTTTTCGCACAAAAAGTATTCGCGTCGCTTGGTAAACATATAGTTGAGCCACGGTAGTCACTTGGGATATTTAAACATTTTCTTCATTGACTTTTTGGGCCGTCAAGAGGCAGTCCCTTAGGAGCCAATGTGGTAGTTATACAGCTCTCAAATTTAATCAAAAATATCTTCATTTGTGTTCCGAAGACGAACGAAGGTCTTACGGGGTTGGTACAGCATGGGGGTGAGTAATTAATGACTTAATTTTCATTTTTGGGTGAACTAACCCTTTAATTGCCACTTTGGACATTGGCTGTGTTTTCTCATAGTCTTGCTTTAACGGTCATTAATATAAGATAGTACTGCAAAAAAAAGCTGTTTACTGTAGAGCTATTATATTGCTGTTATATACCAAACATTTACATTTTAGTACAACATTTATTTGCTGAATTAATTTATTTCATTGATAACTTATTTTTGTAAGTAACGTTATGTGTAGGCCTACCTCCCGGGAAACGGTCTAATGTTATTATAACTTTATGAACTGATATCACTTTTTTCTTACCTATCACACTTAATGTGGAGAGTAATATAATGAATTAAATCCTTGAACTTCCCTGTCTCAAGTTATGTGGGGGTAAAAGCCCGGTTAAGTAGCAACTCCTTTTTAACTGCTATAAAGTTAACTGTTGTGAGTTAAAATAATCACCTAGCCTAATTATTTCAACCTAAAAATGATCTCTGCACTGGACTAAATATATGTATATTATATGACTGCCGAGTCGCTTTCACTCCAAAATGGCGGAAGCGTAGGGCTGCTGCTGGGCGCTGGTGTTGCAATGGAACGTTCTATTGGCTTTCACTTCTTGTCAATATACGTTCTTTGACCCTGTCAAAGACTCAAGGAGTGGGAGGAGATGCTAAAAAAGGCTTTGAGGAGAGAGCTACATATCTTAAAGAAGAAATCAGTAAGCTACAAAATGAAAAGAAACACGTAGGTGATGGTGTCGGTGCCTTTTTTAAGGATTATGTGATGCCATTTCTCTGTCCTCTTTTAGAAATTGTTCCCAACCTCCTTATGCAGAGATCAATTATTAAATCCCTGAAAAGGTAAACGTTAAAAACCTGATACAAAACAATCATGACTTATATTTTCCATTCACTGATTGTAACTCCATTGTAACCTTTAAAGACTAACAAAACCATGAGCTTTAGGGCAGGTAGTAAATGAGCCAATAGTTCTGAACATATGCAGTGTGTAATTTATACACCATTAGGGATGCCTATTGAATTAGCAAAAATGTGAAGAGCATGTTATCCAATTCACCTTCCATCATTTGGATAAATGGGTATACCTCCCAACCAGAGGTGGAAAGTAACTAATTACAAATACTTTTGTTTTAGTACTTGAGTAGATTTTTCCATCTTTTTTTACTTTCTTGAGTATAATTAAAATGTGGTACTTCCACTCTTACTTGAGAAGAATAAAAATAAAGTATTCAACTTCGCTACATTTATTTTTCACCAAAAGTACAAAGTACTATGGTACTATGACAAAGGTGCCGACGGAGCAACAGGGCAAGCTGACATTTGACAGCCCTGCACTTCAGCCAATAACAAACAGATCTGATTCGGGTGCAAAACCAATCAAAACTTTCAGTTTGGCTGGGGGGCGGGGCGTTCAAGCCATGCTTTGACGATGTTCTGTACAAAATGGTTAGTGTGCTGTTAATATTTTCTCATTTTCTAGGCTCCACTTTTGTAAGACTGCCCTTGTGTAACTTCTTTACATTATGTTATGTGCACATCATGGACACACCTAGACAAAACAAGAACTAGGCCTTGAACACACTCGCATACATGTTACTTTTATACTTACACTTAGATCATCCTTATTAAACTTATATTACTTATATTAGAATATTATGTTACTACACTGTCTCTGAGTCTGCTTGATGATTCTCCCGTGAACTCGCACTACTGCTGCCAGCCTGCCACACATCTCAAGAGTTGAGGCGTCTGTTTCCTACAAATAACTGATAGCTTCAAGGCTGCAGATAGAATGCCTGAAAATTAATCTAACAGGTGCTTAAACTGGGAAAGGAATTTGTTCAGACTCAAAACAAGATTTGCAGAAGGTTGTTGGGAGGGACATAATGAAGTGACCTTGAACTTGAGTTTTCAAAAGTGATCTTTTCTAGTCTTTTTGAGTCAAAACACTGAATCACTTAGATTAGAAAAGATCACACAAGAATGTGGCTCAAAGTCATTCATAGATTGTTACCCACAGGTAGGGTCACTGAACTAACTAGTGATGACATTTTCTTGAGATATTTGAGATGGATGAATGGATTTGGATATGTGATGGAATTTGAATGTTTAATCTCAATAACAAAAAGAAAAGTTTAAAAGGAAGTGTTTTGGAAAGATGAGAACAGTCTATTGCTTTGAAAAATGCATGTTGCAATAAAGAAATCATGGCCAAGAAGGGGTTCAAATGGAATTTTAAAATCGCAAGCTGCATGAGATGTGAAGACGATGTGCCTTTTGAATGCAATACCATGTACATACCATGTGATCAGATGGTCTTGGAAAATGCTTAGCACTTTAGAACTAACAGTCATTTGCTTAGATCATAACCAATCCCAAAATCAGTATATTTCTGGAACACTTTTGTTAACATAACTGCAAAGTATAAATGCGTGTCTCTTTTTGTTCTGGTAGTCTTGGTTGTTGAGTGGTCCCAGCCAGCTGTCAATAAACCTTTTTTCCTGAGCAAATTGAGAGTTGGATCTTGAATGCTGCAACTGGAAAAAAAAAAAAAAAAAAAAAAAAAGTACTAAAGATTCCAAGCTCAAATGGGCATAATCAAGGCAGTAAGCGATCAGGGAGCGACGGTAATATAAAAGTTTGTACTAGGGCTGTCAGTTTTTGTATTGAGTATCAAGAATTTCCTTTTTTAGAAGAAAAAAGTCTTGCTAGACAACTATTTTTTATGTTCACTCCGTCGTTGTGCCAAAAAAAAAAAAAAAAAAAAAAAGGGACGTGATCAATGACATCGTCACCCCTCACCGGCTCAGTCTCACTCCCAGCCCAGGAAATCGAAACTCAAGTAAACGAACGGCTGAGGGTAACTAGAGGAACATGAAGTCTGGCTTGCGTTGTGGGCACTTGATTGAGATGTTTTCTAGTACAGGTGACCCCACGTTTCCCTCCTCAGAGATGTAAAGGTGCGTTCAAAATTATGTTTTATTTGTGTAGAAATCATGGCTGTTGTTCCGCTTCACGCTTCTGCGGTAGGCTACGTCAGGCGCGCGCTGTTATGTTTTTTTTTTCATTAGAGAATAATTCATATTTTAGTGTTCTCAAAGATATCACGGTCTTTAATTACTTTTAAACTATGTAGGTTTAAGATTATTTTAATTTACCGTGGTTTATTTCAAGGCCAATGTTTAATATCATGTTCTTGCATTGGCTGTTGGTGCGACGCTGCAACTGTAACGTTAGCTAACTTACCTATAATTTAAATTTACAACAGAAATTTATAACAATGCCCTTCATATCCATATAGAAAATGTACTCTTTTTGACATTTTGTCGTAACTGTTAATTCCCCACGGTCGACGTTAGACAGTCTAGACTCTAGAGGGAGGAATCGGAGGATCGTAGCATAGATACAAATTTTAATCTGCACCTGCCGTCTAACTGTTAGACAAAAATTTTTACTTTTTTTCTGTGTACAAACCTGGGTAAACACACATAGGAAATAATGAATGACTCATTGGTCATTATTGCTCAACTTTGCTCAACTTTCAACCCATGAACTCTAAATGAATGTAATGTGATGCTTGGGAAGATATGAGGGCATTCTTAGTGTTTAAAGTGATAAACTGTTAATTTAAATGGCACATGAGAGCTCAAAAGCAGTCAAACCGGTCACATTTCCTGCTGCCACCACAAAAACGTCTGCATAATCATGACACATATGATATGGTACTGTTGAGCACTGTAAAATAATAATAATAATTCAGTATTTACTTTTGGCAATTAGTCTGAAGCAACCACCTCATAATAAGGCAGTGCTGCCCAGCAACAGCCTCTGTGCTTTGATACCTGACCTCACTCTATGTACAAGAAGATAAATATGTAATGAAATGAATCCTTATGTATATGTGCACATTTTGTGTAATGCATTTGTGTAATATTTACATAGGCAATTTACATAGTTTTCATTACATAGACCTTTTCATTACATGTTGATCTAAAATAATCCTTACATGATCTGAAGCCAGGCTTCAGGTTAAAGAGGTTTGTGGTTTACTAACAACAGGAACCAGTCTGAAAACCACTTGACCCAAAACCTGTTCTGTGGCAGAGTCAATAGCCCTTTTTTTGTGGATTTCACACACTGGTTGCTAGGTTGCACTTGTCAAATTGGAAAATAAGTCTTTTGTTTTGTCTTCTGTTCATGATAAGCTTAACCTTGTATTGTACACCCCAGCTTTTCTTTCTCACATAACCTCAAGAACAACAGCTCTGGCCAACTATGACAGAATACCTGTATTTCTACAATGCAATCTTTGCTTACCACCAGTAAAATAAAGTATAATAGGTAAATTAGCAATGTTTTATTCTTTTCTTTAAATTGTGCAGTATTCAAACAAAAAAGGTGACTAGACCGCAGCACATTTGCATGCAGTATATAATGTGAAATATTTTTTATGTGATTCAGTAGCTCATCAGTTATTATCAGACTGTTTTTATAAACAAAACTTTCAAAAAAGCATGTAAATTATACATTTATAAAATAAAATTAAAAATTATCTCTAAAATAGTTCAAAAGCCTATTTGACACTTACCAAATATATATAATTTAAAGAAGCAGCATCTGAATAAATTAATCTCTACCTTTTATAAAGCATGAGATATTGCACAATATGAGAAGTATGTCATGTAGAAAGTAAATTTTTATGTTCCTTCATTGTCATAATTCATTCTTTATACTTCCCTATAGCTGTTCAAAGGTCTAAGCATAGTAGTAATGTGATTCTGTTTTCAGCGGGGGTTTATGCTCTTTTGAATGGTATTTGCATTCTCCCTTATGTAAACGAGTCATGTGATAAGCTGTGTTCTTCTCTTTCCTCACATTAGGTTGAATTTACTGCAGTATTTGAAGCTGTGGGTGCCCAGCTGAAGGTGTTCATGCCAGACTCATTGCATGTTATGGCTTGAATCTGTAGAAATGTCTACAGTAAATGCTAGAGATGCTCAGCTGCAGGAGTTCATGCAGATGTATGAGCTGAGAGCTGCTTGTAATGTCTGCATTCATCAGTACTCTCGCATTTCCTACTCCATCATTGCAACGCCTCACCGTTGCTCTCACAATCTGCTGCTTGTCAGAGCAAAGGTCAGAGGTCACAAATGGAGCCCCGTGTTCTCTCGGCCCTCTCATCCACGACCTAGTCGATATGAAGTGTGTTGGTATTTCAAGGAGGATGTCGGGTGCTATGTGCATCACGACCGTTGCACTTTTGCCAGTAGTCCAGAAGAAGCTGCAGTCTGGAACTTGCAAAAAAACACAAACCTTGACGACAAGACTTTAATTCATCTGATCACGCAAAGAGAACGACTGGCTGAACAGAGCAGACAAGGAGATGGCCAGTCAAACTCTCATGAGCTTTCCTCATACCAGGAGAAACTTCTGGAAGAGTACAGAAGCAGCAGCAATGAGATTCTTATTGTGAGTACATTGAAATCCTGCACAAGGATTCTGCTTGCCCAACTCTGCCCAACTTCGTCCATGTAACTTTAAAGGGATAGTTCACTTTGAAATGAATTTTTGATATGTTTTAGCTTGCCTCAAGTGCATCCAAGATGTAGGTGTCTTTGTTTCCACAGAATTTTCAATTTTGATATTTTTAGGTCAAACCGTTTGTGTCTGTCAGTCATATAATGGAGGTCTATGGGGTCCACCTCAAAGAGCATGCACAGAGAAGTCCAAATTAAACATGATTTAATGACCCCTAAATGTAAGTACACATTGATGGCCTAAAACACGAAATGAGCGGTTTGTGTGAGAAAACAAACAGTATTTATATCGTTTTTACATCTTGTAACCGCAGCCACAAAGCGCCCGCGCCCTCAGATCACTTGGATGTGGCTGTGATTACAAGAGGTAAAATCAAACCGCTCATTTCATGTCTTAGGCCACCAATGTGTACTTACATTTAGGGGTCATTGAATCATGTTTAATTTGGAGTTCTCTGTGCAATGCTCTTTGAGGTGGACCCCATAGACCTGCATTATATGACTGACAGACACAAACGATTTGACTTAAAAATATCAAAATTGAAACTACTGCAGAAACAAAGACACCTACATCTTGGATGCACTTGAGGTAAGCTAAAACATACCAAAAATTAATTTCAAAGTGATCTATCCCTTTAATGTTTTTAAGACATATGATATCTATCTTTATGAGTATTTAAAATCATGTGAATTAAATGTACACACACAAAAGATTTTTAAATATTTTTCATTTTAAGGATGTAATATACTGCACAACTTTTGCTCAGATTTTTGATTCAATTTACAGTCTGGATGAGTCAATGCTAGTTGCCGAAACAGAAAATTGTGTAGTGTATCATGGTCACAGATTTCAATTTTTGATTCCATCCAATCAGAGGATATCAAACATGTTTGTTAATTTGAGCTGTTCATTTACCATGTGCATTGTGCACAATTTTGTGGTCAGACTTGAAAGTCTGGTATGTTTTGTTTTTCTTTGGAACTATTTACAAACTCTGCAAGTGTATGCCTAGATTTTTCAAATCTGATCTCATTTTAAAAGTTGTTTAGTGTACTCCTCTTTTAGTTGCTAAAATATGCTGACATTGATGATGTTTGTTTACATAAAATCACAATATACCAGTAAGAATCAAGCATATGAGAGCCATGTAATAGGGGAATTAAAATGTTGTTTTTGTATTTATGGTAACTTTTAAGTTAGTATACTAACATAAAAAGGAACAAAATCCACAAATATGGACGTGTGTATTTTACAGATTTCTGAGCATGTGGATGATGTGTGTGTTACACATGATGAGAATCTTTGTGTAGACTGTTTACAAGAAGACAGTGGAATCAGATGGAAATTCACAATCACCACTGAGGTCAGAAATATACACTAACCTGCATCATTTTCCCATTCAGCCTTATTGCACACTAGTTATTGATAACCTTGTTTGTTTTGTCCATGTGTATGTGTGTTTGTGTAGAGGTCCTTGGCTCATGTGGCTCTACTGAAAGTGGAAAATGGTGCTGTTTTCTCTTTGAGTGACAGTTTACAGAACACCTTTCCCCCAGTCACACACACTGCAGGCCACCACCTTCGCTCCTCACACTCCACCTACCAGCTGAGTGTGTCTTTTCTGTCGTTCCGCCCTGGAGTGTACGAGCAGTGGTTGGTGTTTGATTTCGACTTGCGACCGGTTCTTCTCCGGAAACTGAAGGTGAGAGTCGGTCAGCAGTTCCATGTCCAGCCAGATGAGGCTGAAGAGAGTGAATGTGCCGAGCGTCTTTCGAATGAGCGCTGGAACAGAGGAAACAGGGTTATCGTGCCCTTCTCCTCCAGAAAAGAGGAGGACGAGCAGTTGCTTAGTAAATACAAATCACCCCAGCTGAACTTACAGTTCAATCCCCATGCAGATCACAGTTCCCCAATTCACCGAGACAACTACAGAGAGAGAGCTCACCACTTTCTGTTCAGAGAGGAAATTGCTGAGGAGAAGCTCATTAGCAGGTACAAATAGCTTAAAGACATAGTACACCACTTAAAATATATGCTGAGGTGTTCATTTTCAAATTTACTATATTTATATGAATACGTGATTCAAATGAATATAGTGCCCCTCCAAACCAGCGCAAACCCCATCCCACCCTACAGCTGATTTCATTGGTCAACCATCACAGGCCCTGTCCCAAATGACATCCTTAACACTTGCGGTCTTCCTACAAGTGACGTAACGCCTCTTTGACTGTCGGGAACAAGTCTCCTGCAGGCTCAGCAAAAGTCGACCAAGGACACATTATGCTTTAGCTACCCATTACCAGTAATGGGAATAACGGCGTTGTAAATAAACGGCGTTACTAATGGCGTTATATTTTTCAGTAACGAGTAATCTAGCGAATTACTGTTTCCCCCGTTACAACGCCGTTACCGTTAATGACAAATGCGGTGTTACTGTAGCCTAATTGAGCTCACTGAAGCGGTTTCCATCGGATCAGGCTCTCTCTTCGCTTGAGGACCTGCAAAGTTTTTTCTCTGGTGTATGTGTGTGTGTTTACGAGGCGCCAGACTAGACTAAAGTGAAGCGAAAGCCGTGAGCGCGCTAGACAATGCGCAAGATAGAGGGTGTCCGAGAGTGCTCTCGACTGCGCTAGAGAGATAAATAAATCTAAATAAATTACAAATTTCATCATTAGAATAATCTCTGTAGCCTATTGGTATCATCTGCAGCGTTTTAATTAATTTACATGGTTATACAAATAAAATATAAACAAATAACCTGCAGGGAACGTTCTGGGAATTCGGGTTCTGGGAGCGCTTCTTGTTAAACTGTTTATCATTTAAATTTTCACTACAAAGAGTGTATGTATATTTTTCTATTATTATTTATACATTTTTGGTACATTTAAGCATAATTTATTTTTAGACTTATTTGTTGGCCAGTTGTGGTCTGTGAAATATTAAATTATATTAAAAGTTCTAAACCTAAAATTATGTTTTATTGTTCTACTATGATAATATTTAAAATAATATATTAAATTTTATAGGTGTCTCGCACATTGTCCCACAACATCACGATAGTGCAGATTAGTGTACAATGTTTTATAACAATAATTTATTCTATGGTGTCCATTTCATTCATTTAACATATTTAATATTGGGTGCATGCAAGTTATTTGACAGGCCTATTTTTTTTTACACACAAAAGGTAGCACAAAAGGTAATTTTACTTTTATTCCCTGGTAATTTTAATTTTACTTTTAGTAACTAACTCAGTTACTATAACTAAATACTTATTTTAAGTAACATGCCCAACACTTCCCATTACCATATTCACATGTTTTTAAATGTGAATTCAAGCCAATAGCTGTTCTCATGAAACATGGGAAAAGTCGTTAAACTCAACAAATCTTTATGTAATGTACAGGAGAAGTGGATAAACAGGTTTGGGAGTTCACACTGAACAGGTGGATTCTATTATTATGATTGTTTTTTTTTTAGTTCTAAGGGAGGTTATCTATATCCTCATATGGTAGAGGTCCAGTATGTAATTGCAAACAGTGTTAATTGCTGATCTAAGTTCAATAATTTTTTCATGTCTACCGGCCGCACCATTATTAATAGATAAAATGAATCTAATGTCATAGTATCAGTCACACCCATAGACATATTTTCCCTTGCAGATTAGTTTCTCTTATCCCTAGGTTCTTAAATGGTCTGCATACTGATGAGTCACAGACTTTGGCCTATAGTGTGGGTCCCATGGCAACAGTGTTTTACCACCTAAACAAATTAGTTTTTACTTTTTGAATATAATTTCTACTTCTAAAATAGTGCATTTTAAGATTACTTATTTATCATCACATGCACTCTAACTCTGGAATTTGAACTCATACTGGGATCAGAGGCATTTCATGTTATCATAGCATTTAATGGCCTCTGAGTCTGATAGTACGAGGCAGGTATAATCACTGAATTGAATATAGATTTAACTGAAAGCAAACAATGCTAAGATTAAAGGCTTTATTTTCTAACAAGTTAATTGCAGTTTCAATGAATGGATGAAATATGGGCAGGGCAGTTTCAATAATCAGCGCTATTGTTAAGCATAGCTAAAATGGTGTTGTAATAAAATCTGAAATTATGGCTGAAAGGAAAGGTGGATGAATGGGTTGGCGTTAAGGTTCAAACTAAATAGGTGGAATGTATTATGAAAACAATACGTCACTGTTTTGAATTCAAAGAACAGCCAAAACACTGTTATTCTAATTTTTTTTGAATTTTTTCCACAGATGTCTATGGCTGGCTATATTACTGTATCTGACATACTAGTCAGTCTGAAAAGACAAATAGAAATTCCCCTACGCACATGATTTAAAGGGATAGTTCACTTTGAAATTAATTTTTGATATGTTTGAGCATTCCCTAAGGGCATCCAAGATGTAGGTGTCTTTGTTTCCACAGTATTTGTATTGTATTGTATTTTCAATTTTGATATTTTTCGGTCAAACCGTTGTTGTCAATCAGTCATATAATGCAGGTTTAGGGGGTCCACCCTCGGTTCACCTCAAAGAGCATGCACAGAGAAGTCCAAATTAAACATGATTTAATGACTCGTAAATGTAAGTACACATTAATGGCCTAAGACACGAAATGAGTGGTTTGTGTGAGAAAACGAACAGTATTTATATCGTTTTTACCTCGTGTCATGCGCAGACCGAAGCGCCCATGCTGTCAGATCAGTTGGACATGGCTGTGGTTACACGAGGTAAAAACTATATAAATACTGTTCGTTTCGTGTCTTAGGCCATCAATGTGTACTTACATTTACGAGTCATTCAATCATGTTTAATTTGGACTTCTTCTCTGCATACTCTTTGAGGTTGACCCCCTAAACCTCCATTATATGACTGACAGACAACAGTTTGACCGAAAAATATCAAAATTTAAAATACTGTGGAAACAAAGACACCTACATTTTGGATGCCCTTGAGGTAAGCTAAAACATATCAAAAATTAATTTCAAAGTGAACTATTCCTTTAAATGTCAACACTGCAAAAAAAAGAAATGTTAGTTATGTTTAATTTAAAAAAAAAACTTTTACAAATGGTCCAATCTTCACTCGTGTTGGTGCTATATAATCATCTAATCACTAAATAAAAGAAAACCAATGGTTTAATGAAATACACCATACATCTGTAGCATATTGAGTTTTGGTCAATATTAGAGATTTTTTTTATTAATCAGTATTGAGAATGCTATTGTCTCTCTTTTTACAGTTACATTATCTTTGCCATAAATTAACAGTTGAATATGTTTTCTTTTTCCCCCCAAACTTGCAGATTAAATGTTAGTGGGAGTGTGTCTCTCTCTAACCAGTTAAGTGATGGCATATCACGTTTTTTAGCCGCTCCAGGGAAGCTCTTTGCCACTCTGAAGGTGTCCTGCTCGCTCACACCAGACTCGCCTGAAGGGCAGGTGCTTAAACGAGGGGTGCAGATGGCTTTGGTGAATTGCATACCAGCAAAAGCCAGTGTGTCAGCAGAGCACATAAACCACACGTATGAGGCATTGGTGCTCAAACAGGCTGCTGGCGAGGGTCACATTGGTCTTCAGCTGTCTGCACGGTGTGTGTCTGAGCTACAGCTGTGGAAAAAAAACAGATGTGAAATGGAGGTTCAGTTTCAGCTGAACAGACTGTCATTTTGTCAGATGCACCAGGCTATTGATCACCTACCAAACTTGCACATCGTTCTACCTGACCTCAGTAACTGTTGTGTCCCTGTGGACATAACCAAACAGACTGAACTGAACAACAAACAGCAAATTGCCTTGAACTTCATCCTTGGCAAGTGTGAGAGGAACAAAGTGGCTCCTCCCTTGCTAATCTACGGACCATTTGGCACCGGGAAGACACTCTGTCTCGCCTCAGCAGCCAAAAAGCTGGCCTATCGTTCTCAAAACAAAGTGCTCATCTGCACATATACCAACAGGTAAGTTATAAATAAATAAAAATGTAGTTTTAGCCAATCATTACCACAAAATAAACACTACAGAGGGATCACGATTATGCATCAACCAATTTTTGCGATAGTATTTGAGACATTAAAGTTTGAGTTATTGATATTATATATTTGTTTTAAAAATAAATTGAAAGTGTATTTCTTCAAAAAGAAATTGAGAAGTAATATTAGACATTATATAAAAAATATAGTTTAGTGGTCATTATATACAAATATTTGACCACAAAATTGACCATAAAATACAATATTATCCATTGTTATTACCAGTTATTTGAAACAAGAACGATAACAGATGGGAATTTAATTTGTATTAAGATGTCTTGCAATATTTGTTTTATTTTCACAGTCCCTTCCATTTAAGAAATCTAACTTTGAGTTTTGTTCCTTTATAGCTCTGCAGATTTATATGTAAGAGAGCACTTCCATTCATACATTACAAATGGACACCCAAACCTCAAACTACTCAGGATAAAGGCAAACAAGGGTGGAGCCTCCATCAAGGCAACCGATGACATCACTCTAAAATACTGTCTCTGCTCTCCAGACAGACAGTCCTTCATTTCCCCAGCACGTTCTGATCTAGAGTCACACCAGATCATTATAACCACCACATCGATGGCACGGCATCTCCGCGAGCTGAAGCTTCCTGAAGGTTTCTTCAGTCATATCCTGATTGATGAAGCATCTCAGATGCTGGAGGCTGAAGCTCTCATGGCTCTGGGTTTAGCAGACAAACACACTCGAGTGGTTTTAGCAGGAGACCACATGCAGATGGCTCCAAAACTTTTCTCTGTAACTGATGACAAACGATCAGAACACACCCTGCTTAATCGTCTCTTCCACTACTATCAGGATGAGAACAGCAACATTGCTAAGAAAAGCAGAGTCATTTTTAATGAGAACTACCGTTCCAACACAGAAATAGTGGACTTTGTTTCCACTTACTTCTATGTAAGTGATGGCATCAAGGCAAAAGGGGATGTCCCACCCCACCCGAGGCTACACCCTCTGATGTTTCAGCATGTCAGAGGAGAATGCCATCTGAATTCCACCTCCATGTCGTGGTTCAATCTTGCGGAGGTCAACAGTGTGGTAAACATGGTGGAAGTGCTTCTGACTGATTGGCCAAATGAATGGGGTGATAGAGAGCCAAAGCAGATCTGTGTCCTTAGTGAAGGCCGACAGGTACTTTTTTGATGAACAGCATTCATCACTCTTGACATAAGACAAATGTTATGACTAAAACTTAATTATGCTATATCATATAAGTATGCATGGATGAATAAATGATATATTGTACAAGCATTAGGGATGAGAATTGAAAAGAATTTAACATTTGACCGTTCGCAAAAGCCACGCCCCATAGTTCTTGTTACTACGCCCGTCAAACAAATGATCAAACACGAACATGAAGGGAAGAGGTATACCCGTGTGTGTCATGACCTTTTTTGGAGCAATACCTCGACGATATCCTCCAGATCGAGGCAAAAGGGGTTACAGTTTGCAGTGGAGGGATATATTCAAAATATACAAAATACGCAATGAAGGAGACACGACCTCTCCTTAAGGCTATTGCTTACCGGTCTCGAGTTAAATCTGAGGAACCCCATGACCTGTACCTTAAATGCAACCAGCACAATCTTCAAGAAAATGTTATAAGCTGGTTCAGTGGCTAATTGGCGCTGTATTTTTAGTAATTTTGCCTCAGATACAGGATTATACTACATTCGCTTTAACAAGCAGGTTATTCATTACAACGGCGCTGCTTGCGTGTCATGCTGAATGCAATCTTCGTGTTTAAAAACTAACTATACTACATTATATAAGGTTATTTCTATTCCTTACGATAAATAATTAATTACGACAGTAATTACTCACCCTCATATTGTTCCAACCCTGTTAATCTTCAAAACACAAATTAAGATATTTCTGATTAAATCTGAGAGCTGTATCACTCCTCCATAGGCTTCTAAGGGATTGAAACTTGCCGGCCCAGAAAAGTTAAAGACATTGTTAAATAAATAGTCCAAGTGACTACAGTGGCTCTATCTCAGCTGCACAGTTACATAACTACTTGTATAGGTTGTTTATTTAAGTTTAAACATATTTGACAATGTATTACCTACACAAAAACATGTAAATCAACTAATGGCCAAGACAACTGACCTCACTCTCGCTCGCTTTCTCACTTGCACTTGCAGGCACTCTTTCTCTCTCTCGCCGTCACCCTCACGTTCTCTGCACGTAACGGCTTAAAGGATTAGTTCACTTTTGAAAAAACTTTTGCTGATAATTTACTCACCCCCATGTCATCCAAGATGTCCATGTCTTTCTTTCCTCAGTCGAAAAGAAATTTAGGTTTTTGATGAAAACATTCCAGGATTTTTCTCCATATAATGGACTTCAATGGGAACCGGATGGTTCAAGTATCAAAAGACGGTTAATAACAGTTTCAGATGCAGCTTCAAATGTCTTTAAACGACACCAGACGATGAATAAGGGTCTTATCATGCAAAACGATCGGTTATTTCAAAACTTATTCCAAAAATGTAACTTTTATAAGGACAAATGCTAGCCTTGCTATATTCTCTGAGGCGCGTTTGTAACGTCACGTAATACGTAATTACATTCAAAAGGTCACGGGTGACGTAGCCGGAAGTACAGAATCAAAATCGTCCGACATCGTTGTTTTTCCTTTTAATTCCTTTTTTTGTAAACGGCGTTTGAGTTAGTTTGCACGTTCAACCTATGCATTCAACTTGTAAACACTGACTCTGTACTTTCGGCTACGTCGCCCGTGACCTTTTGAACGTAATTACGTATTACGTGACGTTGCAAACGCGCCTCACAGAATAAGGCAAGGCTAGCATTTGTCCTTATAAAAGTTACATTTTTGGAATAAGTTTTGAAATAACCGATCGTTTCGCATGATAAGACCCTTATTCATCGTCTGATATCATTTAAAGACATTTGAAGCTGCATCTGAAACAGTTTTTAACCGTCTTTTGATACTTGAACCATCCGGTTCCCATTGAAGTCCATTATATGGAGAAAAATCCTGGAATGTTTTCATCAAAAACCTAAATTTCTTTTCGACTGAGGAAAGAAAGACATGGACATCTTGGATGACATGGGGGTGAGTAAATTATCAGCAAAAGTTTTTTCAAAAGTGAACTAATCCTTTAAATGAACAACAACAATAAACGTAGAGTGCTAGTAAATGTAGAGTGCTGATCAAGAGTTGTGTGCAAGCAATTTAAGATCGCAACTCTTGTTCCAAATATAGCAGGCTTCATTCAGTGATTTGAAACAAATGTTATTAACATTAATTGAAGTTTTACTGTATATAAAACCGACACTCTGTGTGAGCTATGCTGTGCTGTGGTAAACATGAAACTTTTCCTTGACATGAAATGGTAAATAATCAAACCAGTGGAAGCTTGCTGTACATGAAACTGCTGTATCTAACCTACCTTATTCATGCAATATCTATTTAGTTAGTGTATAATAAGCCTACACTTGAGTGATGTTCCCTCAGGCAGCGCGCCCACTCGCAGCAGACAGCCACGCCTCTGCTACCGCAGACGGGCGTGTTTTTCCATATTCTAATATTAATTTTCACGTTCGAAATTCTGAATTTCTATATTATTTGAATATATATTCACAAATGGTTGAGTCACAAATATACAATCCACATCCTGTTCTACAAATTTTTCATTTTTCCCCCCTTCAATTTTTTAGGTTGAGGTCATCAGATTTCATCTCCGTCAGAAAGGAGTTCATGGAGTGTCCGTTCAGAATTTAGCAAACATTCAAGGTACTGTGGGATTCAGAACATCATTTTCTACTGGAGCTCAGGGAGCATGTTTGATTTATCAAGAAAAAAAGAAAGAAAAAAATCTGTTACATTTGTATTTCAGTCACAATGTGTCAATATGTATATCTATTTTAAAATGATTTATTATTATTTTTAAATTACAACATCCCCATTCAAATTCTGTGTCCTTAGGGAAGCAGTTCAGGGTCATCATCATAACAACAGTTCAGACAAGAGACAGACTTCTTCAATCAGAGTCAAGCTGCCCAGAGTTTTTTGATGACATTCGAGCACTAAACACTGCCTTGACCAGAGCCCAATCACTGGTGGTTGTAGTTGGAGATGCTGGTGCTCTTTGTTGTTTTGGAAAGTGTTCAAAAATCTGGAGGTCCTACATAGAGCGTTGCATCAGCAAGGGCAGCGCTAAACCAGATAATTTTACCAAAGATGTACTACAACAGGAAGTATTGGAAATTTCTAAATTTCAGAAGACAGAAAAGTTAGAGATTTCTGAGAATGATGTACCTCTCCAGGCTGAAACTGATACTATATTGAAAGAGATGGAAGACTATGAAAGTGATGTACAGGACTCAGATGAAGAGAATGAACAAAAGAGGCCTTTATTCTTTTCCTCTGAAAAGGAAAACCTCTTGGAGTTGGTCAGGAAACAGCCTGGTATCTACAGGCATGGCGAATTGGTAATGAAAGGATACCAATCAGGTTACGTAATACCTTACGATAACCCATCTGAACACATTAATATTGAAGGGAGGAAAAACATTGGCATGTCTTTCCCTGGTGATGAAGTTGTAGTTGAGACCAGGCAACATAATTCTGGGAGAGTTTTAGGTTGTACAAACAGACTACCAACATCCTCTGAATTTGTGTGTTTATTAGAGGCTGAAAATTACCACAGACGTACACAAAACCCTGACAAATATTTGGTGCCAAAAATGATGATACCCCTCAACCACAACACCACCAAAATATGTGTCTTGGTAAAAAAAGAGAATCGCAATTGTATTCCACTATACAAGTTTGCCAATGGCAATTGGACACTAACAAGAAATCTTTATGTGGATGAACAAACAAAACAGAACTCTGTTTTTGTTGTTCAGATTTTGGGCTGGAAAGAACACTGTTCCTTTCCGCTAGGCAGAGTTACAGATATTCTACCAATTGGGACATCTTTAGAGGAGGGACTTGAGATTTTAAAATCAGAGTTCAAACTACTGTCTCCTCCGCTGATGCAAGATGATGCCTTTTCAGAGATGAAAACTGATGGAATTGATGACAAGAAAAGAAGAGATTTCACAGCTTTACAAACCTTCACTGTTGATCCAGACCAGGCTGGAAATTTGGATGATGCCATTAGTGTTGAAGATATGGGAAGCTGCTATGAAATTGGCGTTCATATTGCAGATGTGGCTAGTTTTGTGCCTAAGGACAGTTCACTTGATAGCTTTGCAAAAGAGAGGGGAGCAACTTTTTATGAACCAAGAAAAGAACCTACATTCATGTTCCCGAAACGTCTTTCCACCACCCTTTGTAGTCTTCTCCCAGGCCAAGATCGTAAAGCCATTTCATTAATTGTCAAAGTGGAAAAGCAATCAGGCATTATCACAGAAAAGAGATTGGATCTCTCTCATGTCAATTCTAATAAGAAGCTGACCTACAAGGAGGCTGAGGATATAATAAGCCAGTGTGATGGTGAGCTGAGATTTGATACTTTGGAGGATTGTGTCAGGGTGGCTTACCGTTTTGCCAGAAGCCGACGCAAAGCACGACTAAAGAAAAAATGGAACTATGCCAAAACTAAAAAACACCAGAATCCAGGGAAGAGAGAAGCAAATGTAATGATTGAAGAGTTAAACATAATGTTTAACCATGAAGTGTCAAAATTTCTGACAGAGAAGACGGGCACTAAACTCTGCACTCCTCTGAGGTGTCAGGCTCCTCCAACAGCAGACCAATTAGAGAAAATCAGTAATCGACATATGGAACTCATTCCTTTATCCTCACACCTGACATTTCAAATCGACAGAAATCGAGTGGACCTGAATAACACAATCACCTTCACTGTTTACTCTCCAGGGTCTAGAGATAACCCTGATGATAACCACAGCCCTTTATCAAGCCACCTACAAGATGCCATCTCTGTCAGTGACTCTGAATACCATTTTGAAATTGGAGTTCACAAAGCAGATTTTTTTAACTATGTGTCTGGGGACAATATTCAGAGCTTGGGTGCACAATCACACATGTGGAGTCTAATGCCAGGCAAAAAGCAGCGCGCTATCTCTTTAATTTTGAAAGTCGAAAAGACAAAAGGCAAACTAGTAGAGCAAACGTTGGTGCTTTCCTGCATAAAGTCAAACCGGGCATTGTCCTACAGTGAGACTGACCGCATCATCAACCAGCCAGGGGAAAATGAGATGAAGTTGGATTCTCTAGAAGGCTGCATCCTTGTGGCTTTTCGTTTTGCACTTAATCACAGGATACAGAGACTCTCTGGACAAGTGGACAGTTCCAGTCCTGCTGATCTTGAATCATCACAAGACAGCGAGTGCAGGTTAATGATGGAGGAGCTGAAGTTGATGTTTAAAAGAGCTAGTGATCAGCTGACTGATCAAGAAACCCTGTCTCCGAACACCTTTAGCTGTCCAGTGACCGCTTCGCCTGAACTGGTGAGTAGACTGAAGAATGACAAGGAGTCCCTACAAGCACTGGCGGAACATCTGGATTGAAAAAACAGTGGGCAGAATAATGGCCGTTTCATCATTCTGACATCTGTGTGGGAAAAGATTAAATTAGCAGCTTTGTCTTGTAACTTTTACAAAATGGCTGACCTTATTTCTACAGATGACATTCATCCACAGTTGGCTCCAGCAGTTGATCAGTTTAAGGCCAGTTTCGAAAAAGCGGTGTTCATTCGTTCTTTCTCATGCCCAGATGCTTTACTTGGGCACTATTCGTTGAATCTGGACTCATACACGCATGCATCCTCACCCATTCGCCGTTACATAGATGTGGTTCTTCAGAGGCTCGTGCATTCAGTTCTCAGCGATCGTCCTGTCGAGTATTCACAGACAGACATTGATCTGTTGTGTGACAAGTGTAAAATAGGAGAAATTAAAGCACAGACGTATGAGAGTAAAGCAGAGTCACTTCATCTGGCAGTCAATCTACAAAAACAAAGCACATACAAAGTGGCTTTTGTCACTGTTGTCCAACGTGACAGTGAAAGTTTCAAATTATCATTTCCGTTTGATAAAGGAACTTTCCCAGACAAGCTTCCTGTTAAGTACAGGAATTTACAGCTTGAGGATCAACCGTTATTCAACAGAAAGCAAGTGACACTGACTTGGAAAAAACGGATATATTCATTGAGCATGACCCCGAGCCCACTGCAGAACTTAAGAATCTGTTCAGAGATACATCAAAACACCTGGCACGCCATCGTTGAGGCAGTGAGAGACGAACAGTGGGAAGAGGCGAAGTCCCTCATATTGGCAGCAGACATGAGAGATCACAGTGAGATCAATAAAGTGCAGGATACATCTCGATTGGATCCTGATAACACTTTTATGTCAGAAGATGGTCATTACACTGACTTCACACTCTATCTGAAAGCTGGAGACATTGTCCAGGTCCAACTGACCTCAGAAAGGGACAGGGGCTACTGGGCGCCAACTGTACAGTTATTGAGTGTGACTTCAAGCATTGAGATCTGTGTGGAACATACTGGCAATCCTATTAAGTGCTTTTCCAAACTTGCAAACCGCCCATCCAAAGGTCACTACAAGGATGTAGAGGAGTATGTGCAGATATGGAAGCCCCTCTGTGAAATGGAGTCTGCTGCAACTGCTGTGGATGACAGTGATTGTGTAGTGGTAGAGGATGTGCCCATAACTTTTGATCCTTCCGGACTCTCTGGAACGTTCTCTCTGCCTGTAGAACATGTCAAAAAATGGGCAATTGAATTTGACCTGGCCAAGTGTTTGCTCTGTATCCGAAAGAGAGTTTTGATCGAACCGATCGAAGCAGATCAGTCAGACCTGGATCCGAAATACTTTACTTGGGTGGCCCATGGTGTGACAATTCTGTGTTTAGATCCTCCAGAGAACAGTGTGAATAAGTCAAAAATTATTCGCTTCAACATAAAATGTGCACCCATGAACACCCCAAAATTCAAGCGGAATGACACATTCACAGTGGAGATGATCCCAAAACTCATTCCAGACATGTAAGAATACAACACACTCAATAAACATTACATTACATTATTAAAATTCAGTACACTACAACTAATACCATTATGCTGCAAAATATTGCATTACACCAGTCTCATTACAGTACTTACATTTTGTATATTCATTAATCAGTTCATAAATATATTTTGTTTAATGTATAGAGGCAAAGTCATGAATACCACTTGCAATGATGTGTGATTTTTTTTTTTCTGCTTGATTTATCCAGACGGAAGGAAAGTGCAGTGAACAATTTAACAGGAGCTAATGAACTCGTTAAGAACATTGCACTCAGACACCGGATTGGAAAAGAAAGTATGCATTAAATTCATAGTATGTCATATGTTGAGAGAGAGAATGTTTTTTTGAAATACAGAAAATTTGGTTTTGAGAAACTATGCAGTGATATTTTATTTTTTAACACCATTTAAAAAGTCATTATGTGAGCTTAAAATTATGTATTTACAGTAGAATTTAATGACATATACTTTAGTTAATTGGTTTTTAAGTATTTTTGGTTTTATCAACCCACAGGCTCCAATCCAGCTGTACAACCATATGTGCTTATGAGAGAGGAACCACCAGCAGGTCTGCCTCAACTGAATGAAAGCCAGTTTAAAGCTTTGGAACGAGCTCTGAATGGCAAATTCACCCTCATTCAAGGGCCTCCAGGTTAAAAATTCTGTACACATAAAGTTTTTAGTTTAGCCTTAAAGGCTAATTTACACTGCACAGACAGACGCTGACCAACGACATAACGTTTGTGTTGGTTTTGTTGGATGAATGTGTTTCCCCTGTATGCTGGTGTTGGTCAGCACTTTTTTTTGTTGCAGATTGAACATTCAGTGACCATTTGGTCATGTAATGTCTGAGAAGTGACGTACTGCAATTTGGTGATTGTCTATGTTGATCGGCATCGGCCAGTGCAGTGTTAATTTGCCTTTAATCACAGAAAAACTTCACAGACCGTTGATCACAGTAACAGAGATTTGACCTTTTTTCCCCTCAATGTTTCTTAATGCAACTAAAAAGATTGGTTTGTATGTTCGTCCTTTATAGGAACAGGAAAAACAGTTGTAGGAGCGTATATAGTGTACTGGTTCTCTCAGCTGAACTCCAAGAATCCTTGGAAGCTGAAAGACAAAAAGAAAAGAGAGGTTATTCTTTACTGTGGACCCTCAAACAAGTCTGTGGATGTAGTTGCAGGTACGTCGAGGTTTGTGTTCTGGGGAACTAGTATTTGTGTGAAGAAGAAATTGATGGATTTATATGCTTGTGTTGGTTTTTACAGAATACCTGCTCAAGTTTGGAGAGCAGCTGAAGCCATTACGTGTGTACAGCAGACAGATGGAGATGCAGGAGTATCCCTACCCTGGCAGCAACATACAGTTATCACACAAATCACTCCGCCAAGAGCGGTCTAAATCTGAGCTCAGGTACTACCAATAAATAATGCTATTGCAAAAATCGTATATAATATTAATAATCACAGATCATTACAATACTCAAACTCATCACATTCCTGCATCTAGGAACATAACACTTCATCATAGAATCCGAGACAACTCTCACAACCCTGATTCCCAATCAATAAAGGACTTTGATCAAAGAATTGTCAGTGACCCCCTTTCACTGACAGACGAGGACGTAGAGGAGTACGTAAATGTTTCTCTTGTAATAATGCTATTTGTCTCCATTTTAAAAATGCTAAACTGTCACAAACAACTCTAAATACCTGTGGCTTAATTTCCATCTCCATCTTTCCTAAATCTACCTAAAACACATCTCTGCATCTAAGAGTGTGTCTACAAGTGTGTGATTATATGTGAATGCATGTCTGCATGACACTAAATTTTGTGTCCTCAGATATAAGAAGCTGCTAAATTCTGCACGTTTGTATGAACTGGAACAGCATGATATTCTTCTTTGCCCCTGCACGGCTGCCGCCTCACCCAGCCTCACCAAGACACTCAGTGCACGACAGATCCTCATCGATGAGTGCGCCATGGCTACAGAACCCCAGACGCTTGTCCCATTGGTCAGCTTTAAACCGGAGAAGGTCAGAGTGACTCTTGACGCATCTATAACAAACAAGTCTGTCAATAACATATAAACATATACACAAATAAAATGGATTAAAATTGTACAGAAATGTTAGGCAAAACTTGCTGTAAAATACCTACGCATAACCTAGACAAGACTTTCAAGACTTCCTGCACAGCCTAAATAATTAAAGCACTGACACTAGGGTTTGGAAGAAAGCTAAACTTAAGACTCTTTATAGCAGACTAAACAAATAGGAAGCTGGAGACAAAGAATAAGTATATTGATCTCCTTACTAACTCGCCTTTGAAATCAATACAGCAGAAAGAATGTAGAAGCAGAATACACATAATGAGAATTTTTCTAAGCAATAACAATCATACATTTTTAACATGAATTACAGAAGACACTCACTACTATAATGCCATTTAGTGTATACCAAAAAATCTTGTCAGGCATATTTAAAACGAGAATCATTTGATGACACATTAAAAGACTCAATTTAAGGATCATGCAGGACCCAAATACTAATTAATTGTAATTTTTTTAATCTTTATACTTCGCCATTATCCTTCAAAAACCACTAGGTTTTACTCATTTGTCAGCAAGAAGTTACATATTTAATCAGTACAGGTCAGAATAAGTCGATTGTTTGATTTTTACATAAATATATCCATTAGGCTGAATGACCATGTTTTGTTACTCTGAATGACATTTTGCCAAAAAGGGAGAGAATATTGTCATTGTTCCCATAATTCCAATAGTTTTAGTAGTAGTCTGTATCATTACATTAGATTTAATAATCTTCCCGAGTAAATGATGGCAGAAGCAGATGTTGAAAAGATAATAAGCAGGTTGTTCTTATGCTCCCTGCCATGCTTGCTTAGCTTGTCACTTTGTTTCTGACTTGCTCTGTCCCAAAAATGACTGCTTGCAGCTTTATTTACATGATGAATACTTTCTGTTTGCCAACATAAATGACGTTATCAGGATGGGTATTTGGGGTGGAGAATCCCCTCAATGGCCCCTTTTGAACTTGTGACATAGTGAGGGGGGACTCTCTGTTCAGAAATATTGGTAAGCATTTATATTAACAATTGCAATCCTCATTACCTTTCTTGTTTCCTTGCTAAAGGCCTGTTCACACACCAAGTAAACTATAATGATAATGAGAAGGATATAGTTAACTAAAAGCTGTTCTAAATATAAAAGAATAGCAAAGTCCACATCTTAACTATAACGGCACACTAGCACAGAGAAACAATATAGTTGGAATCGCTCTCAGAGTGATTTTTTTTTTCAGCAGATGAACACTAAAAACATTGACAGCCAATCAGAATCCATCCTTATTTAAAGCAGCGGACAACAAACCTGCAGCACATGCTTGGAATAAACAGTGTTCTTGTTCGTTGGATGCTAATATAGTTATCATTATGATTATCGTTCTTGGTGTGAACAGGCCTTAAGAGTGCTACATTGTGTCTTCATTTACTTTTTTTAGCTTTTTGGCTTTTTACAGGGCCTAGCAACTAAGGGCATCTAAAATAAACTAATAACACAAATCAACCAATACAAGAAGACATTCCTCATTTATCTGTAATATAAATAATATGCTAAAATTGTTATTTATTCAGTGACACTGTCATTCACAGAGAATTCGCATTACACTGAATGAAAAAAGCATTAATTTGAATAACTAAACTTCACTACTTCAGCTTATATTGCAGGCTATCAACAAATAGTGAGCTTGACTAGTAAAGTTAATCACAATTATTCACAAGATATTTTTCAAATAATCTATATGTTTAACGAATACGTTTTTTGAGGCATTTCACTAAATGACGTGTTTTTGTAATTTAAGTTAACACACCATGAAAAGGTAAAATTATCAAATATTTAAGAGCAATAAACTAATTTTGCTGCAGCATCACACGATCTTCAGGTTGCCTCTTTATGATGTCACAGACTGCTTAAGAGTATCAGTTTTTTTATATGATTCCAGAATGGTTACTTGTGCCTTTTACACGGAATGACCAAACTACATTTTCGGGAACAAAAGTCCTCTGGTTATTTCAATAATTTAAAGATCAGAAGCTGTGTCCGAATTCTGTTCACTCATTCACTAATCGCTTTATAGTGTATGGCATTTCAGTGCACTATATCTGCAAGGAGTGAACGTGAACGTGAAGGAGTTGTCACACGTAGTGATAAAACGACATTTATCTTACATGTTTCTTACTTTATAAAATAATATTAACAACAATAACAATCATAATGAATTTATTTTTAATTATACATACCTCCGTGCCAGCTTTGTAGTTTCACCAATTGTATAATTGTTTTTTCATGATTTATGTGTTTATAATCATTAAATACTATTAAAAAAATAAATAAATGCGCATTAACAAGTGTACAGTACATTAATTCATGAATCTAGTATTTTTTAGTAAAGTTTTAGTTTTAGTTTGTTATGCTCAGGTGACGTGGTTGTTGAGCGCCCTCAAGAGACCAGTATGATTCATTGACTGTAAAAAATAGGGATGATTACATTAGAATAAATACGCAGATAATTAACAACGAATATTTTTAAAATCATCCACCAAATTATCATCTCTTACTTACAGTTTAATAAGTTAACAACAATGTCACACATTATTAAAACACCTGGCTGTTAGTAACACACATTAAATTGAGTTAATGCCTAAATAATAATAAAAAAATAATATACAGTATCCATTTCTTTACCTTACCTTTCAATTTCAAACTCCTCGGTGGATCTCAAGTCTCTGGATGTTGTGGTGCTGGGACAGTGCCTCTGGGATGGTAGACCGGGGTGGTGGGACCGGAGGGTGTGTTCCAACAAAAGGGGGATCACACTTCTCAGCCTCCCTGGGAAAGTCTATGCCAGGGTACTGGAGAGGAGAATTCGGCCAATAGTGGAACCTCGGATTCAGGGGGAACAGTGTGGTTTTCGTCCAGGGCCGTGGGACACTGGACCAGCTCTATACTCTCTACATGGTGCTGGAGGGTTCATGAGAGTTTGCCCAACCAGTCCACAAATGCTTTGTGGATTTGGAAAAGGCATTCGACTGTGTCCCTCGAGGCGGCCTGTGGAGGGTGCTCCGGGAATATGGGGTCCGGGGTCCTTGGGCTGTCCGGTCCCTGTATGACCGAAGCAAGAGCTTGGTTCGCATTGCCGGCAGTAAGTCAGACTTCTTCCCGGTGCATGTTGGACTCCGGCAGGGCTGCCCTTTGTCGCCGGTTCTGTTCATAATTTTTATGGACAGAATTTCTAGGCGCAGCCAGGGGCCGGAGGGTGTCAGGTTTGGGGACCATGTGATTTCGTCTCTGCTCTTTGCGGATGATGTTGTCGTGTTGGCCCCTTCAGACCAGGACCTTCAGCATGCACTGGGACGGTTTGCAGCCGAATGTGAAATGGCTGGGATGAAAATCAGCACCTCCAAATCCGAGGCCATGGGCCTCAGTCGGAAAAGGGTGGCCTGCCCACTTCAGGTTGGTGGAGAGTTCCTGCCTCAAATAGAGGAGTTTAAGTGTCTTGGGGTTTTGTTCACGAGTGAGGGAAGGATGGAACGGGAGATTGACAGATGGATCGGTGTAGCTTCTGCAGTAATGCAGTCGATGTACTGGTTTGTTGCCACAAGGCGAAGCTCCCGATTTACCGGTCAATCTACGCTCCTACTCTCACCTATGGTCATGAGCTTTGGGTCATGATGAACGAAAGGACAAGATCCCGGATACAGGTGACCGAAATGAGCTGTCTTCGCAGGATGGCTGGGCAATCCCTTAGAGATAGGGTGAGAAGCTCGGTCACTCGGGAAGAGCTCAGAGTAGAGCCGCTGCTCCTCCACATCGAGAGAGGGGTCAGCTGAGGTGGCTCGGGCATCTGTTCCATTAAATAAATGTTAAAGCAGAAATAAAAAAGACGTCATCTCTGGTTTAAACTCGATAATCCACTTAGTCATTGGATTTTGGAAAATAGTGTTTCAGCGAGTGTGTACATGGAATGTGTAAAGTAGTGAATGATTGTAGGGAATGAAGTCACTCACTCAGAATACAGCCCGACACCCGATACAGTGCACTATATGCGGTTTCGGACACAGCTATAGTCAATGCAGGCAACACTTATTTAAAAATGCTAAGAAAACAAATCTATTTTTTAACTTGGTATTTTGTGTATATCTAAAGATGTAATTGTAAAATAGTAAAGTCTGACCACTATGCTACAATTTTACACTTTGGAACATTATTTCACCAATATTTTTATGTAAATAAAATCACTTTAGTGAATTTAATTTGATGCGGACACCAAAATGGTGACTTCTCATCTTTGACCCTAAAGCATTTAAAGACTAAATACATATTATATAGAATATAGAATAGTATAATCTGATATAGTAATCAAAATGGATGAAATGTGAGTGCAAATAGTGACTCAAGAGTTTTCTCCATGCAACAATTTATAACGTTTTTAAGCACTAACGGTTAACTAACATAGGCACATCTAAATAAGGGACCTACTTCTTGCTACATTACTCTGACCTTACAAACATTTTCATTCACTTCCTTCCATGAGGGTTTTCTGATCCTTGTCACACAGTCTCATATACTCATCTTGCAGGTTGTGCTGTTGGGGGATCACAAGCAGTTGCGGCCGATCGTGAAGAATGAGCATGTGCGGAGACTGGGCATGACACACTCTCTGTTTGAACGTTACATGGATAGAGCACTACTGCTTGACACCCAGTACAGAATGGTACATATATTTGCTTCACACACGGTATACTCTTACACACCTTTATTACTGTTTTTTTTTTACAAAGATTACTCTTTCTTTAGCATGAAGAAATCTGCAAATTTCCATCAGAAACATACTACCATGGTCAGCTGATAACTGTTGTGCCTGAACGAATCAGTGTGCTTCGTGCTGAGACCGAGACAACAAGACAAAGCAAACACACTCTGTTTGGAGATATACGTGGAGAAGAGATCAGTTTGGTTGTTTCAACTGCACGGGGAAATGAGAACTCAAAAGCCAACCTTGAAGAGGTTAAGAAAGCTGTAAGTAAAGGATGATGCAAACAGAACAGAAATCTTACACCCAGTTATTTTTAAACTATCGTCAAACTGCATGTTTGCAATTATTGAACTCACCTTATACAAACAATTTTTAATTTAACAAAATGGCACTATTATTGAAAAAAGTACCCATTTCTGTTCTACATAGCACATACTCCCTAATTTTATATTTGATACAAAATTTGATTCAAGCCTGTATTGCCTCTCCTATTAGTCCACCAGTAATTTGTCCACTAATCACAGTCTGGGGACTTAACTCAGTTTATACTGTAAATTGTCACCCAACTTACTCATTTTTCAGGTTCTGGTGCCAATGAGCTTGCACCTACACAAATCAAAGCTAGATGTGTTTTTACGCAGGTTAATATTTGCAGTCAGCTGGTATCAGTGGGCCGTGTGAAGCCAGAAGACATTGCCATTCTGTCACCATATAACGCACAGGTGGCCCAGATCAGAGAAAGACTGTCCAATGGCTCCCAACTGAAGAGAATCACTGTCACCACCATTACAAAGAGCCAAGGTAACACTTTAAAATCATTTCCTCTCTTTAGATCTCTGTATTTTTTTGTTTCCTTTATTTGATGCTAATGACATTAGTTATTAGTTTAAAGGGATATTTCACCCAATAATGAAAATTCTGTCATCATTTACTCACCCTCAAGTTGTTCCAAACCTGTATAAATGTCTTTGTTCTGCTGTAACCAAAGGAAGATATTTAAAAGAATGCTTGTAAACCACCACCACCACACCATTGACTACGATTGTTTTGTTTTTTCCAATGGGGGACGAGATCTGCTTGGTTACAAACATTCTTCCAAATATCTTCCTCTGTGTAGAGCAGAACAAAGATATTTATACAGGTTTTGAACAACTTGAGGGTGAGTAAGTGATTTTTGGGTGAACTATCCCTTTAATGCTTTTGAATAGTGATTTATCAAAGGACTGTGTCACTTTACAATATGGTCTCATTTGTAAACATTAGTTAACTAACATGAACTAACAATAAGTGATACATTTATTGTGAACAATTGTATTTATTAATCTTTGTTAAATGTCAGTTAATATAAAATACAGTTATTAATTGTTTGTTCATGTCAGTACACACTCACAGTGCATGAACTACCGGTAATGTTAACAAATTCAACTTAATGTGTTTGCAAATGTTGAAATTAACTAAGATTAATAAAGGCTGTAGAGGTATTGTTAACTAAAGTAGTTAACAAAAAAAACTTTATTGTAAAGTGTTTCAGTTATTTTCTTAAAAGTTGCAAAAATCTGATGACAATTAAGTATTTTAATGATGTGACTGCAGGTAGTGAGTGGCAGTATGTGATTCTTTCGATGGTTCGCTCCTGCCCCAGCAACGAGATTGAACCTCTGCCTTCAAGGGAATGGCTCTCCAAACACATTGGCTTTGTGGGTGATGAAAACCAAATCAATGTTGGCATCACAAGAGCACAGAATGGGCTATGCATTTTGGGTAATCCTTACATTACATTCATATATTCTTAACAAATTACTAAATGCATATCCCAGTGTACTAAATCACAATGTTTAATTCAAAAGCATTTCATTTTCCATATTTATTATTATAAGATACTAATATATATTTTTAAATGTTGTGCTTTAGGCAATCAGGAGGTACTGAACTGCAGCCCAGCATGGAGGAAACTACTGAAAGATTATTCAGGTCGTGGCTGTGTGGTCTCTGCAGACCAGATAGCAGTATGCAGTGTCCGTTAAATCAGATTTTAAATGTTGGATTGATTTTAAATCATTTTACAAACAGTGTAAATACTTATTTTTTAAAGGCCCCCTAAAATCTAAATGTAAGTTTTTTAGCTTTTAATATGAATATGTTAGCCTTAAGGTTATGAATGGTGAATGGTGCTGGTGTGTTCTAAAACATTGACGCAATTTGCATTTAGGAGCTATAAGCATTCAAACACAGTCTCTTTACTTCCGCTAAAATGGATCACGGATTTTTATGACATCACCGCGGTCTTCAGCTTCTTATCACATCTTTTGTCCAATCAAATGCTCTCTATAACCTATCCCGCCGCCAATGCTATAAATGTCAGCTGGCAATATAGATTGGAGGTGTGTGTTCAGTTGCTCAAACGCTCAAGTTTATTCCGTTTTTTAACCAATGAAATGGATAGAATTTATTCACACCTCTACTATTGAATCCAACGTATCATCAGTGCTCGGATTCGCTTCCATGGTGCTGTTAATTACGAATTCCAGTCTGTGAGGTAAACTGAACCTATTTGAAAAGGGGGAGGGGCCATTCAATGTCCTGCCTTAGCTTCCTGTTTCAGTGGAAATTATGCCGACACATATAAAGCTGTGCATTCCAAGGCATTTCAGTGGGCCTTTAAGGTTATATTTTTAATTATACATTCCAAATGTCTTGTGTCATTCCAAACCATTTCAAAATGCTTATGATTATTTTAATGAACTAACAGATTTGAAAAACTAGCCATTCCTGAAATATTATATAATAATATAATTTAAAACTATGGCAGCTAAAGATGATTTTTTTACATATATATTTACTACACATATCCATTCAAACTCTTGTTAATCGATTGTAAAAATAAAAAATGAAAAGGGTGAGCATTTACTTTGAATACATTGCCTCAAAGATGTAATTCTTGATGTAGCCATCATTGCCCTTGTCTGTATTGACTTAAACTTGGAAGAAAACCAAGTTAAACAATTATCAAACAGTTAAAATACTTTTTTTTCCTAAAATTTTATAAAAAAAATAAATAAAAATGACGACAGTGGTGGCTAAAGTCAATTTACCACAGTCACATCACATAGTAACAATTGTTGTAACAATCGTAGCACAAGCGTATCACGTTCACTTTGACCTGTACACAGAATTTGGCTTATTTATAAATTAATTAACAGCTTGTATTTTGTACAATTATTTGTCTTTGATCCAGTCGGATGATTAAATCTAATTTTATTTCGTAGTAAATGAGAAAATCAATCCCATAATAAATGACAAATAATAATATTTCATCCATTATCAGGATTAAAAGTTTCATAAAGAAACTTAACATGAACAGTTAAAACATTTCTAATATTTCCAAGTAAAATATAAATCACACTCTGAGTATAATATTCTTGCATAAAGAATAGTCAAGTTGGCGTGAGATCTCTCTTTGAAAAGACCAATTGCAAAAGAGTCAGGTTGGAGAGTCCAAGAATATACAAACCTGTACAGAAATTGATCTCCCTCTTATGCAGTTGCTTATCGGAACAGTGTTAAGTTTCTCTTTTCAAAGTATTTATAGTGTGACGAGACTGCGAATGATAGTAGCTACTTGAGATCGACCCAAGTTGACATAATATCATGAGTAATGCCTTAAATTTCAGAGTGTTCCTCACAACAAACCTTTACAGAAGAATTGCTCACATCGTGTGGACTACCGTTATGATTTAAATTGAAGAAGTTAGCAATAAATTTGTGTTAACGCCCAATAACCACTAGATGGTGCCCATTGACACCAGTTTTTGTTCGTTCTTTCTTATCCGACTTTAAAAATCTGGGATTCAAAATGTAATTTAAGCCATACTCATATCATTCTGGAGGACATGATCATCAGGTTTTTACACTGACTTCTGGAGTTCATTTTAGCTAGAGCGCTGCTGTCATTAAAGCAAATGCACATCCCCAGGAAACTTCTGTTTTTAACCATTTAGTACTATTGTGATGTCATAAGGCTGTAGATAACATCTTATCATTTACAACAATAATAATAAAAATTAATAAGTTTGTTTGCTGGCAGTCGATGCTTCTTACCTCGTTTTGACTTCTGACACAAGAAAGACACATCAAGAAGCCTAACATAAGGCTTTAAAAGCTTTAAAACCTGGGCCAGTGGACACTCATTCAATTCTTACCAGAACAAATGATCTCCTCCGTGCTATCATTATTTTAAAGCTCTGTACCCTTACCTTTTTTTTAGTCATCAGTTGTTTCTGTTTATTTCTCCTAAGTACTTTTTAGGTAGAAACAGCCACGTAAAAGATGATTATTTAATTATCTGAGAACTTAACTCGTGAATTATGAAAGTTCAACGTCTTATCAATAAAATTGGTTTTGTTGACAGATTTTGGTGTCAGCCGGAATTAGACTTGGTAATTTGTCCAACACAAATTTTTACCATTAGCCACCAAAATGCATAAGGACATACAGCAGGCCTCACTCTGGAACAGAATGGTAAAACTCTTCAGAATGTTAAAGCTGTGAAAAAACTCAATTCTGTGTACCTAATCAATCCTTAAAACATTAGGATGGCCCTAATAACATCTGTCAATGTAATAGCTTGTTTTCACATGACGTCACGCACGCCACTGCGTTGCCATTGTGCGAAATGCAAATGGAGGGCAGGACGTGATTTGCTGTATTTAGAAAGCACTATAACAAACTCAAAATGCCTGTGTTTTGAGTCATTTATAGTTACTTGAATCCATCAAACCACAAGGAGTTTTTATCTTGCAAACCTACGTCTGCAGTCGGGAGGAGCCGAATGGGATAATGCTCGTGTGTGTAACGCATAGACTGTATAAAATGTGGACAAAGCGTCTGTGACGTCACCCATAGACTCTCTGAAGAACGGGTTTGAGGCTGTTTATGGGGGTATGGGCGCGCCATATTAGAAAATCTTGGGAAATACAAAATACAAAAGTTTCAGAAAGGATACAGAGGTGGTATGATGTGTTGTGTCAGAGATCATGGCCGAGACGTCAAATTCACTCGGCCCAGCCCGTTATCAGTTGTCAATCAAAGTTAACCGCCCTTATTTGTCATACATTTTATATCTAAATACGGTCTAAACTAACGAGTTAGAAAAAAATTCACCCCCCTCACAGTTGTTAGGCACGCAGAACATATTGAAGATTACAATAAAAGTCCAAACTGTAAAAACATGAATTTATGCTGTGAAAACGGACATTATAACATGACGTCTATGGATTTTTGCTCCCTTTTGGGACCGGCCTCTAGCGGATTTGAGATGTATTGCAGTTTTTCGCACTTCCGGGTAGGCTTCATCTTTCAGATTAGAATGTTGCCGCTTGGTGTAACGTTAGTGATCACTTTGTCAAAGTTGAGTTAATACAACTTAAGTGACTGTGTAACGTGTAACGTTTCCGAACTTTGTAAAGTCAAAGTATGTCTGTAAGACAAGGTAGTTGCTGATATCTACAGCCTCGATGGGTGGAAAATATTTCAATTCAGTTGAAAAATCGCTCCTCTTCATAACGTAAGGATCACGTCCAACATATGTTTGATTTTTTGTTCTTGTATAGCGTGTAAAGTAGTACAATACGGACTTCACTCCCTGCCCTCCATCTGAATTCCGCGCGTCATCATAATCACGTGACTGAAACCCAGCTATTGGGTTTTTGTTTTTATTGATACCGATCACAGTCTTCATTAAAGGTCCCCTGACATGAAATGATCACTTTCTGAGGTTTTTTAACATTAATATAGTTCCTAGCCTGGGAAAACCCAGACAACTTCCGGCAATTTTAGATTTGCTCTGAAAGTAAGTCTGGCAAAGAGCTCATTCAAGCCCATTTCCAATCCGTCGAAATCGAGGCACCAATCAGAATTGTTGGGGCGGGCTTAACACGATGATGACAGCGCTGGGATTTTGAAGCAGATTTTGTAGCAAAGATGGATGCCGCCGTCGAACATCACTTGTTCGAATCAGCTATCGCGTCTGTTTTAAGCGATTTGAACGTTTCCTTTTTGTTATTAACCGAGCAAAGAACAACACTAGGAGATGTTTCTCCACCGCTCTGCATACGTCATCTCCTTCATCGCTCTGATTGGTTTTAAGTCAATCCCCGACATCTGTTGGTGACGCCCCTTTGGAAATGATTTGTCTATGATGCTTTGCAAGACCATAACTCAGTTACAACTGAGAATGGTCTGGTTTTAACCAGGCTAATTAGTTCCCCTAGCATGGTCCCCCAGTTGCTAGAAATTTCAATCGGTGTAAATCGAGCTTTGGCTATACCTTTCTCTGCCTTTGAGAAAAGGAAATCTAAGACGGCTGATCTAGAATCTCCTCCGCTCCGCATGACATCATATTGAGGAAAGGTAACCTCCCCTTTCTCTGCTTTGCCCGCTCAGAGACTTTGGCTCGCCCATGAGAAAATGCAAATGAGTGAAGCATGGAAGTTCACTCAAATGAACACAAAGGTATTTTTTAGTTCTTTCATCTGAGCCTCTGAAGAAACAATGGGTTCATTTTATTTTCTCTGGAAATGCGCCAACACAACTTCCCAAAGTTTTGAATGGTCCAAACATTTCACTGACGACTGTTTCCTCAACTTGGGCCAATACAGAGCTGGCCTCGATGAACATCTGAAAATAAATCGATCGAGCAACCAAGCAACAATTTCTAATATGTAGCCTAATTTTTCAATTTCAGACAGAAAATACATAAGTCAAGCCAGTGACTAAAATATCAACTTCACATCGTTTCTATAAGTAGGATGAAAATAATCTTAAAATTGTGAACAAATTACACCGAAAGCAACCAAAGAACAATCTTTCCACACACTGTAAAAAATATTTTCAAGATTTGTTATCACAACATATTTTCTTTTGTCAAATCAATTTAAATAATTCATTTAGTTGAGATAACTTATTATTTTGAGTTTCTGATGATTAAATTAATCTCCTTCATTGTATTAACTCACTTTTTTCAGTTCAATCAACTTAAAATTTTAAGTCAACCAGGTTACTTTTTTTTAAGTTAAACCAACAATATTTTTTTTTACAGTGCACAGCGCGAGTTTATCTGGACAACTTATGAAATCAATGACGAATGTTACACTGCACAACAAGTTCTTACTGCATGTACATCATCATGTTTGCATTGGTGAAGCATTAGAGAGTGCAGAAACTGCATTGATAAGATATTTTTATGTGATGGGAATAGATCTAAATACTTTAAAAACTTCTCATGATTCGTTAATCTCGATAGCTGTAATAGTAAAAACATATAATAGCTGAAGTAAAAGTATTCGAGAGAGTTTCGCATTCAATACTAGCTATTTCATATGCAAGCATGTCAACCAATCACAGCAGTGGCCGGTTACACTGAATCCCACTGCAGACCGCCCCTTCAAACAGAGCGTTCAAATCAGCCTAGGAAAAATGCCTTTTATTTCTAAATTATGACTATTTTTGATCCAAAAACACATACTAACATTATAAGGGCAACCTAGGAAACATTATAAAATAATGAAATAATCCCGTGGCAGGGGACCTTTAACTCTCAGTCTCAGCTAAAGTGCTCAAATGCAAAACATGTTTTCATTTAAAGTTTTTGCATTTTCAAGGCTCATGTGAATTAAGTCTTCACTCAGGATTGTGAAAATACATGGAAGAATGAGAACAGTCCCACACACTCGATAAACAAGCACATTGTGCTGTTTACAGAAGGATTCTGACCTCATTATATCACAGTCCACATGGTAGCTGAAAACCGCTCACTGAATCCTGCAGTATGTAAACTGTGACTTTTTTTCTACTTTTAAATTTATAATTGATGGGCTAGATCAAATATTTGATGAATTATAAGACGCTGTTTTAACACACTTTCCAAAGCTGCACCTTAAGGTAATTTAGTGTTTGGATGGATGGGTGTTGATGTCATCAGCCATGTGCTTAGATTGTATCTATTTAAGTGTGCCCTTTTTCTGTTGTGCAACATTAATGACCTGTTAACACATTAGTTGCTCGTAGTGTCTGTTTGAGGAAATTGTGACTGATTTAATATTTCCTAGCCCTTTAATGATCAGTGGTTATAGTATTAGTATTAGTAGTAATAAACAATTTTAATATCAATTTATCATGTTAAATACAGAGGATTGTTGAAATCATGCTAATTTAGAAAGCAATTAGTTTTTGAACCTACTGATTTTTTTAATGGTGAGCTTTACATACAAAATGAAAATCATAGACTTGAATACACTATTTATCAAAATTCATACTTATGGAAATATTTATGAAACTAGTGGTTAGGATGTGTACACATAGGCCTATATATTAATACTTTTTACTTGATAGTAACACAACTTTTAGATCTCCTCCTGCCTAGGCTTCTCCACATCATTCAAGTCATTAAATCAAAACATTTGTTGGAAATGGTATAAATATTCATTAAAAATATTTGAAACGAACATGAATAGATTACATCTGTATTTTGCACATGCATTTAAAACCAAATTGTTAAAAGCTAAAAAAAGTGTTTTCTGCTCCTAATGTATAGGGGCTATCGATGATCCAGATGAATAGCCTATACATCAATTTTGAAATGTCATGCACCCTATTTATATTCACACCACAGCCCAACAGTAGCCTGCATTCTTTCGCAAACATAGGCTATTTCAACTAATGATTAACAAAATTCCTCTAAATCTGAGCGTGTGACTACACACTAGTCTGTGCTTTATGAAAGCACAACCTTTATGTTTTGTGAGTATAAAACGCCCAAAAATGTGCTTGATCTGTTTTTTTGGAGCGCTGGTCATAACAAGCGGAGTTTTTAGCCAAGACACAACAACTGTACTGCCAGAGGTTCGAGGTAAGATTTATTTGTTCAGAAAACACACTCTTTTAATACAGCGTGTTGGATCTGTCCAAGCCTGTCTCTTTTCCTCCTCACCTCCCTTAACAGAAGTGTTTGCAGCAGTGGGTTCATCTGTGAAGATACTGTGCACTGACGGAGGGGAAAAAGGGGTGGAGTGGAGATTTAACAGCTCAGTGCTCATCTCAAGCCCTGTTCTTTTCATGCAGAACACTAGTTTGAAGAACCAAGGCATCTACACCTGCCACCAACCAAACGGAAACCTGATACTAACAGTATCTCTACACCTGGGATGTAGGTTTATGCATATTGTCCTTTATTTAAAGCTGTGTAGTCTGGTAAAAAAAAAATATCTCACTATCCCAGAGAGCTTAAATTAAGAATTAAATTGAAATTATGTTCTGTTTGCGCTATTTAGATCCCCCTTCTCCTCCGGATGTGCATTGTTGGTCTCCAACTTACCCTAAAAGGGCCATATGTTCTTGGACACTGACTCCAGAACCAATACTTCCAACCCACTATATTGCTACATACAGGTATGTTCACTCAGAAAAAAAGGTACAAAAGCTGTCACTGGGGATGTACCTTTTCAAAAGGTATACACTTTTGTACCTTAAGGGTGCATATTGGTACATATTAGCACCTAAAATGAACATATCAACACTTAAACTGTACATATTAGTACCTGAAATGTACATATTAGCACCTATTAGCATCTAAAATGTACATATCAACACTTAACATGTACAAATTAGTACCTGAAATGTACATATTAGCTCCTGAAATGTACATATTAGCACCAAAAATGTACACATTAGCACATAAAATGTATATATTAGCACATAAAATGTACATATTAACACCTAAAATGTAGGCTACATATTAACACTGAAAATGTACATATTAGCACCAAAAATGTACATATTAACACATAAAACGTACAAATTAGTAAAATGGACAAAAGTGTACCTTTTGAAAAGTAAATACAGCCACAGTGACAGCTTTCGTACCTTTTTTCTGAGAGTGTTCCTGTTCATTAAAATGCATTGGTATAATACAAGATGAGTTGTAAAATTGACAAGTCTGCAGTGGTGTAAAGTATTTGAGTAAATGTAATTAGTTACTGCACTTAATCTTTTTGGCTGCTTTGTAGTTTGACAAAGCATCAAAGATATTAGTCTTTTACTCTATACTTGACTACACTTTTGAAAAGGTATGTGAACTCTTTACTCCAATACATTTGTGATGTGTAATGAAATTACTCATTTTGCATGGCACCTAATTTTTTTAAGAAGTGATAACGCCATCTACAGGGCTTTGTGGGGTTTTTTTCCCTTATGAACCCAAACTTGTCAACAAGGCTACTTTACATCGATTAGTTAAAAGTTTCTAAATCACAGGTGTTTCATATGAGATGAGGTCATGGCCATAACCAGCATGTCTAGTGCGAGTATGCTTTGATTAATTAATTGTACTTACAATTATTTTATCTAACCATTACATTGAAGAGACCTTTTTGAAGGATATTGGTTTTCTTATGCCTTTTTTGAAAACTAGACTTTTTAGGAGGCTGTTGTGTCGACCTTGATTTTATTGCAGTATTGAGGTGTTCATTTTTATTATAATTTTAGAAAATAAACATGTGATTGCTCTCTCCTCACAATTCAAATGTCTCTTAGGTGTTGAGGACTAGTGCATCTTTGAGCCTACATTTAGTCCGAGTAAAATATCTAATCCTACCGTTAAAATCAGATGCTCTATCCCCCCGGTTTCACAGCCTAGTCCCAGACTAAAATGCATGTTTGAGCTGCTTTAACTGAAAGCAACTTACATTGGCATATCTTTAAATATGCCATTGTTTTGTCTCAAGATGCACACCAGTAATATTTTTAAGGCACATTTGTAAAAGCTACTTAAATATCCTCCCTAATCGAACTCAGGAATAATCCTGTTTAATCGAAACCGTGTCTGTGAAACCATTGAAGACTTTTACTCATATTGGAATCAATCGGTGGTGACTTACTCAAGTATGATTTAGGTCTTTAAACCTCTCCAAATCTGTTTCAAATCTATTTAATGCTATATTGTCTATATGAGTTATCGTTTGAAGCTTCAAAAAGGACGTAAAAGCAGCATAAAAAATGGTGCATATGACTTGAAGCTTCTGATTCATGAGTGAATCATTCATATTGGTTTTGTGAACTGAAAAGATCCAATTAAAAGGAATGATTTATTCACGAATCAGACATAATTTTTCATGGATTTGGATTAGCATTAGTGAGTAAATAAATAATGATTGTGTACTATTGCTTTATTTTGAATACTGTGCTGCAATTTATATTGTGCATGTTGTATAATTCACCATATATCTATATGATTTATTATACAGTATATTAAAATGTAGAATAATAGTTCAGAATATTTGCTTCTGAATTTAAATTTAGGAGTTTTTCAGAACCACTCTCAAGTGCCCGTCAATGCCAGAAATGGGAGGGACAAGACAGGCAATGTGCGCTAGAGGAACTGGAGATCTTTGCAGGAGAACCAACTCTTATCAACATCACAGCTAGTAATGCTCTGGGAAGCACAACACGTATATGGCCATTTATATTTGAGCAGATAGGTGAGCTTTTCATTGGTCTCTTCTACCATTTCATTAATTCCACTGGTTTGCAAACAGTCTGTATTTTTATTTTTTAAAACATTTATATAATCAAAACAGGAAAAATATCTGAAAAAATAAATATTCACATAAATATTTACTTTATTCTTTATCACTACAGAAAATGAAACGGCTGCTTTTGGAATTTTTTCAAGGTCTTATCAATGTTCACATCTTGATGCATATGATATGTGTTTTAATCACATATTAGTGTTAATATAGTGTTAGGGATTAGTGTTTTAATTCTCGTCATTGGTTGTGTTGTAGTGAAACCTGATCCTCCGGTGAATGTGAGCGTGATGGTATTGCCAGGAAAGAAGTTGTCTGTTCAGTGGGGTCCACCACCCAGTTGGCCGGATCCTGTCAACTTTCTCCTTAAATACACAGTGAAATACCACTGGGGCAAACCTGGGACAGCTAGAACTGTGAGTTTAAACACGGTGTTCATATCATCAAATCAAACGGAACAATTAAAGCAGTAGGCTAATACAGGAGGGAAATATTTCATTCTTTAACATTTTTGTTTTCCAGCTTGGCCCTTATGAGTCCAGCAAAATGGTTCTGAGTGGACTGGTGGCAGGAAGGACTTATTACATCCAAATATCTGCAAAAGACTTCCTTGATGATGGGCGGACCAGTGACTGGAGTGCACCAATAAGTGCCACTATACCCATCAACTGATGAATCACTGAATTGACCAAAAGTGTTAAGTTTCAATGTTTATTATGTCACCGAAGTGTAACTGTTTATAAAGGCAATTTTTACCAATATGCCAGTTCAGTTTGCTAAATTTTCTTAATTAAAAAAATGTTAAACACCCACCCAGTATAGCTCCATTTTTAAATAATCACAAAGCTTGTAAGCATCTTGAAAGTGTTCTTATCTAAACTGATTTCAACTGGTTTGTGAAACAAGAAAATCACACTTTTTCAAGTAGCAAATAAAGAACAAAAATAATGCCAGTGTTTAGTAACGCATCCGTACGGAAAAGTTGAATTATAATGGTTTCTTTGAAAGTCACTTGATTTTCACTTGAAAAATAATATATATACTGTATATATAATTATTATTATTTTTGATTTTATTATTTTTTTACAAAAACGATTATTAGAAAACCATTCAGAATATAATTAAAGTATTAGTTCACCCCAAAAAATAAATATCCAATGCACATTAATTGAAATTGCAAGGGGACAAATTACTGATTTGACCAGTTCAAAACTTCTGATGATAGGAAGAATGAAGGTCAAGTTTTGAATGAGAGTGAGTAAAGGATTGTGTCTGAAATATTCATTTTAAAGAAAACAACTGACATGAATGAAATTAAAATATACTTATATCTCTTTGCAGAAAATCAGATGCCAAGTAGTGAAGATTGTGACTGGTGCAGATACTTCACTTTAGCGTTTCCCTTTTAACATGTAAACAGCTAAATCTTGATTTTCTACATGTGCCAACAAGGCTTTGCAGAAATTCAGTCTAATACATCAACAATCAGGGGTGTTACAAACTCAGAATGACGAACACCCAGGGAGAAAGAGGGTGCACGAGGCAGGTGTGCCGTCACCTTCTCTGGGCTGTGCGTGCCTGGGCCAGGCGTCCTCATTGTATCGATGGCATTATTATGACGGCTTTGCATGGAGAAAGAAGGCTGTCTGTTCAGGTAAACACTCGGTTCTGTGCTGTTGTATCGGCAGGGTCCTGGGGTCATGGACAGATCCTCCGATGGTCCGCCTGCTTTCCTGCGTGCTGACATGGTGAAGCTGGCGCTGGAGGATTTGTGGGGGACGTGGGAGCCGAAGAGGTTTGGTAAGGTGTAGCTGTTGGGGGCGGGTACAGGATCAACACTGCGGTAGCGTGTGCGGAAGGCCATGGTGTAAGACGGAGGTTTGTGGTGAAAGCTCAAAGGTGGAGCTTTCTCAGGACTGTAGGCTCCTGGTCCAGGAGTCTGGAATGTATCAGCTGATCAGAAACAGAGAATCAACAACTGCTTCACATGATTGTGTTTGCCTTTTACAAATTATTATACACGTGACATAGCGGTAGGATTTCAACTGGTTGTTAAGTAGTTTGCCTGGTCTTTTTGGGTAATGGGAAAACCTACTGAAAGAGGTTCCACATTATTAGAGGGATAGTTCACTTTGAAATAAATTTTTGGTATGTTTTAGCCTTACCTCAAGGGCATCCAAGATGTAGGTGTCTTTGTTTCCGCAGTAGTTTCAATTTTGATATATTTAGGTCAAACCGTTTTTGTCTGTCAGTCATATAATGCAGGTCTATGGTCACCACCTTAAAAAGCGTGCACAAAGAAGTCCAAATTAAACCTGATTTAATGACTCGTAAATGTGAGTACACATTGATTGACACGAAACGAGAGGTTTGTGTGAGAAAATGAACAGTATTTATATCGTTTTACCTCTTGTAACCACAGCCACGTCCAAGAGGTCTGAGAGCGCGGACGCTTCTGTCTGCCCAAGTGCCAGAAGTGATCTCTCGCGCGGTTGCAAAAAAAAAAAAAAAAAAAAATATCAACATTGTCTGTTCATATATTGTCTAAAAAATCATAAATCGTCTTCCATTTTGATTTCAGTGAAAGGTAACACTTCCAAAATCTCTGTGTAAACAATGAGTGACGTACACGCGTAAGCGATCACTTCCGAAGCGCCCTCGCCCTCAGATCACTTGGACGTGGCTGTGGTTAAAAGAGGTAAAAACTATATAAATACTGTTCCGTTTTCTTACACAAACCTCTCGTTTCGAGTCTTAGGCCATCAATGTGTACTTACATTTATGAGTCATTAAATCATGTTTAGTTTGGACTTCTCTGTTCATGCTCTTTAAGGTGGACCCCATAGACCTCCATTATATGACTGATAGACATGAACGGTTTGACCTAAAATTTTCAAAATTGAAAATACTGTGGAAACAAAGACACCTACATTTTGGATGCCCTCGAGGTAAGCTCAAACATACCAAAAATGAATTTCAAAGTGAACTATCCCTTTAAGGAGTTCTTGTGCATTATATGGGGAAGAAGAAAGATCTTTCTGAAGATGAACAACATCAAATGGTGCAATGTCTTGCAAAAGGCATGAAAACAATTAATATTGAACAAAAAACTGCATAGAGATAATCAAACTATTAAAGGAACACTCCAACGTTTTTTTGAAATAGGGCTTATTCACATTCTTTCCTACATTTAGATATGTGTGCAAATGCATTTTTGTCTCAGTGCATGCATTGTTTTAGTTTGACAGGGTCGGACTCGGCGCTAGCTTAGCTTAGCACAATGAATGGAATCCTTTGTTGCCAGCTAGCATGTCCTGAGTAAAAGTGATTAAAAAATAAACAAACCCACGTAATTACTTCTTGTAATTACTACTTCTTACTTCTACGTATTTACAACGAGTACAACTAGCGATTTAGATTAACACTAGGCGATTTCCTAGGCAGATATTGACTTGGGACTATATTAGGGGGAAGCACAGGCGAAGCACTGCTGCTAAGGCGAATCACTGCTACTTGGGCGCAGAGATATCACGCAACACATGAAATCCCACGACTTCCGTAAACATACCAGCGTTCAACGCGTCAAAAAAACAGAAGAAGAAGAACACACCGGCGTGACCTGCACCGAGTGTCTTCGCTTTAGGACTATTTATGTTGAGAAGTTACAACAAATTTGGTAATTACCTGCGTAGCAAAAGGTTGTGAGAACAAGCAAAGAACTACACGAATGTAATGTTTCACAGAATTAACTTACATCGAATGTGGAACTGAGAAATAAATGGCTGGAGATCTGTACATCAACGCCTCTACAAAATCAAACAGTTTCGTGTTTGCGAAGAGCATTTTGCACCAGAGGACTAACTTACTTTGAAAAAATGGAATATGTGCCCAGAAAGACGGGATCTAACGTTACGTCTGAAAGATACGGCCGTCGCACATGTAAGTTGTCTTTTATTACTCTCTTCCTGTTTATCTGTGTCTTTATTCTGTCGTAAGATCGATGCCGAGAAGCTGTATCTAGACTACGAACGTCATGTTGAATTCCACCTGTTTAGCATGAACAACCTGTTACATTTGGTCCATTCGGCGTGGGGCGTTTTTTCCAGTTCATCTTATCACACCGGGGAAAAAAACGAGTAAACGTTACTGCAGGCTGGATCAGCGCCGTGAAATCCTCAACATTACGGGCTCGACATTAAGGCTTGTCCGCTTGTCATCAACAACACACACACAATTTAGCCAAAATGTCATTTGTCGAGTATCTTCATAACATAAGAGCAGTCTTATGATGGACATACAGAGTTGTGACTCGTGAGTGAGAGAATGAGGTGCGTCGTAAGATCCGCGTCTCTGTCCACAGCGGCTGCTCTTAAAGGGCCAGCTACCAATAAAGCGTTCTGTCAGTAAAGTTAATGAAAAAACAAAGGGAACAGAGAAAATTACTCACTGCTCTTGACTAAAGAACTTGTGTAGCTTTAATAAGGAGTAGTCTGTATATAATTTATAATTTATGCAGCGCAGACTGTTTGATAAAACAACCCCATCCCTAAACTTAACCGTCACTGGGGTTAATGGCATTTATGACTGGAGATTTGACTACGTGTTCAGACATGCGGAATGATGCGGACGTTAATGGCGTAGACATATACGCATACAAGCGGATACACGCGGATAGCTCAAAATGGGTGGAGATAACATGCCACCTGACTCGAGAGTGGCGTATATGTTTACGCAAAAGTCATGATGTCATGTTGCGACCTCAATAATCTCAATATGACATTTTCCCCAAATCGTGCAGCCCTAGATAAAATTATAAATCTTTACCCGGACAAGTGACTTTTGTACATGGACAAGTGAAACATATTTACTTGTCCGAAGGAGGAGTGCTCTGAAAAACTAAAATCTGTATGTTTATTGTTCTGAAATCCTACTAAGATGTCACTTGCATAATAATTTGGAACAGTGTTAAGTGAACATGGCATATAAATAATGCTTTCTAAATATTACCATTTGTATTGTGCAAGATTCATCAGTGCAAATTATTGAAAAAGGAAAAAACATGAACAATTCCTCTTTTTCCCCTTCATACTGGCAATGCCCATTTTCATGGTTCAACCAATCACAGATGAATCAAATCAAGTATTTTTTCTTATTCATTTTCCCCCTAGGGGTTTCCCATAAGTCTTTATTACAGAGGTATAAGTCATGAACCACACCAACCAGCTACAGGGCAATCAACATTACAAACTTTGATTTGAAGAAAAAAGTATTTGAAAATTTGACTAAAAGACAAACACATACAGACAAAGGTCATATTAAGTGGCTTTAAGTATTATGTACTTACATTGAACAATAAGTACAATGTATTATTGTGTTCCTATTCACTTTTGCTGCTATTGAGGTGTGATCTGGGTAAGGTTAGGGACAGGTGTGGTGGTAAAGGTCGGTTTAAGGGTAGGTTAGGGGAGGGTCAACTGTGTAATTACAAATGTAATTACATAAATTAATTATAGCTGTAATTACATGCTGGAATTTTAAAATGCAAGTACAATGTAAAACCATGTATGTACACAATAAGTCCATTGTATCAAATTATTAATTTCAATGTAAGTACATCGTACTTAAAGCCACTTAATATAAAGTGGGACCCAGAAGGATACATACACGTATTTAAGTAGTTTGAGAGCATGAACAACACTGACTATTACGTCATTCGCAGTCGTCCTTCATGTGAGAGAATCTGCTGTTTAACATGAATCATGATTATTTAACAAGTTGAATTAATGTCAGCTGTTGGCTTCAACAAAAACATATATACCATACATTAAAAACCTCATAGCTCACAGTAAATGTTATCTTTAAAAAATCAAAGAAAAAAAGTTATCTTTGATTCCTTTATGGAGAAAACTAATGTGATTTTTACTTCCGCAATCCGACAGATGGACTATTGAATATCCTTTTTCATTCACAAATATGTAACATTAAAGAAGTAAAACTGGTTGACACTGGTAGGACTTCATCCTAATGTTCTTATTTAAATGAATATAACCATACATGGACTTGTTTCAGTTATGAATACTAGGTCCGGGATAAAATAATAAACATATTCATGATTCATGATTCATGAAACATGATCAGATCAGAGAGGAAACCCCACCTGTCTTCTTCTTTCTGCCCAGCATGGAATAAGACGGGGTACCGTCTCTGCCAAAGCGTGTCATTTTTCCGTCTACATGATACTGCGGCCCTGGACTGGAATCCACAGACACCACTATTCAAAAGCAACATTACAGGAAAACACACAACAGAATTTCCTAAATTACATTTTGTAGACACGCAAAGCAACACGAATGTCTAAGGCTCAAGCATTCCCTGCTATGTTTGAGCAACAGAAACGCTATTTAACATTAATTAAAATCCAACATATGGATCAAAATCAAGCATGTGGATTTTATTAGCTTAATATGCCAGAGAAATCACATTTATCATTTTATTGCATGCTGTTGTTTGTGATATAAAGTCCAGATGTGTGAGACATTTCTTTTTTTTTTTTTTATAAATACTTTGATCAAACTGGGTGTTCTCAATCCCCTCCAATCCCTTCCAAACAAGTGTTACATGTCACTAATTAGGTGTGTAAGTGTGTGCCTGTATGTGTAAATCCACCTACTATTTCAGTACTACAATGTAGACATCTAATTAATCTATAAAATTATCAGTCCGTATAAGTGCCATGTTGATATATATGTAGTTTCTGCATGAACAAGCATGTTAAAAGCATTCTCAAGTGATTAAACCCAGCATTAGTTCAGTGGATCATGTCATCTGTCAGTGTGAGAAGTGTTTGATTTCATGTTATGTCACTCACTATTGCTGCTCATGCGGCTGTGGAAGGAATAGGCCGGGCTGCTGGGTTTGGTGTAGTCATGGTTTATGTAACCGATAGTGGGCGGAAGAGCATAACGCCCTGGCCCGGGCCCTGCAGGCATAAACAAAAACAAGGTGTGCAGAGCCTTTTAGCATTTATTCCTGGAATTGTGTTGGGTAATGAATAATTAAATAAATGTGATGGATATTTAAATATATATTTATATATATAAATATACATGTGATGAATATTTAAATATATATTTGAAGAGTTCAGATGCAAAAGCCTCTAAGTGCCATTTGAAATTTTCTTCTAAAATGATCATTTTTATCAAGCTTGTATATTTAAGTTCAGTAATTTCACTTAAATGGCAATGAAGATTATACAAGATATACAAGCTTGATAAAAATGGTCATTTTAGAAGAAAATTTCAAATGCCATTTAGAGGCTTTTGCATCTGAACTCTTCATTTATATATATAAATGAATTTATGAAAATAATGTGTATTGTGTGAGATGTGAGAAATGTGAGAACTTGTCAGGTTATACTGGGACTTCCTGGTAAAATAAAGATAAATAATAAATAAATGATGGGTGCATTTATAAACAAGGTTATTACTCTAGAACGATTAAAAACATTTTTATTAAATGAAATAAAGAACAAACTAAACTGAGCTATAAGTTATATTTAGTTCATTATAAAAAACAAACTAAATGAAAATTAGAAATGTTGCAACAAAAATTGCTAACTGGAAATAAATAAAAACTGAAATAAATAATATTCAAAATAATAAAAATGACATAATAATGTAAATAAAGTACTAAAAATTAAAGGGATAGTTCACTTTGAAATTAATTTTTGATATGTTTGAGCTTACCTCGAGGGCATCCAAGATGTAGGTGTCTTTGTTTCCGCAGTATTTTCAATTTTGACATTTTTAGGTCAAACCGTTGTTGTCTATCAGTCATATAATGGAGGTCTATGGTCACCACCTCAAAGAGGATGAACAGAGAAGTCCAAGTTAAACATGATTGAATGACTCGTAAATGTAAGTACACATTGATGGCCTAAGACACGAAACGAGCGATTTGTGTGAGAAAACGAACAGTATTTATATCGTTTTTACCTCTTGTAACCACAGCCACGTCCAAGTGATCCGTGTAAGTCACTTATTGTTTACACAAAGATTTCGTAAGTGTTATCTTTCACTGTGAAGATCTAAACATATTTAGATATACAGGAAATTGCAATGGAAGACGATTTCGATAAATCAACAGACAACATTGAATTTTTTTTCACAAATTTTTTTCAGATCACTTCCAGTGCTTTCCAGCGCTCGCGCAGACCAAAGCACCGTGCTCTCAGATCACTTGGACGTGGCTGTGGTTACAAGAGGTAAAATGATATACTCTTCATTTTCTCACATAAGCCGCTAGTTTCATGTCTTTGACAATCAATGTGTAATTACATTTACGAGTCATTAAATCAGGTTTAATTTGGACTTCTTTGTGCACGCTTTTTAAGGTGGTGACCATAGACCTGCATTATATGACTGACAGACAATTCGGTTTCACCTAAATATATCAAAATTGAAACGGTGGAAAAAACCTACATCTTGGATGCCCTCAAGGTAAGCTAAAACATACCAAAAAATTATTTCAAAGTGAACTATCCCTTTAAAATGAAAACTCAAAATATAAAAATAAAAGCTAATTCAAAATATTAGTAAAAACTATAATAGTTTATAAATAATTCTAAAATAACATTTTAACTTATTAGATAAAAATGTGTCTGCCACAGGCTGATTAATTTTGTTAGTCAATATAAGTTATACATCTGCTAGCTATGTTCCTCATAGTCACTTCCTCTTTTTATTAAATCTAAAATAAAACTATGGAATGCGATTCATGTGAGACATAAAAGGTCACACATGCTGTGCACATTTCTAAAGTCCAGGAGAACCTTGGCTGTAAACTTTCATTTGAAATCTTAAAGATTTTTTTTTTACACAGTTAAATGTCACACAAGCTTTTTAAAGCTTTGGCCAAAAAAAGAAAAAGAAAAGAAAGAACAGACAAAAGAGGTTCTATCCTCAGAATGATACAAGCAGGTGTTGCAATAAAAGACCTAACTGACAGTTTCTTTCATCAAACTGCCAATCCACTCTCAAGAGCCAAATAGAAGCATGTTTGAACTACTTACAGAGCCCTGCGCTAAAATAAATCGTCAGATCTCCTCGCTTTGCTGAATAATTCTTTCGACACAATCATTTGTACAAATGAATCTACTGAAAAGAGCGGTCACACACTTACCTCGTTCCCTGCCAGCAATGATGGGCCGCCGTCTCACCACTTCCCCCATGCCGCTTATATTTTCTGTCTAGCTTAAAGAGCTGACAGCAAAATCGGCAGCAAGAGAGCTCAAGGAGGTCCAGTAAAGGTTGAAGTTTCAGTTTAGACACACTGGAGAAATACAACTGCGGCCTGAATTATAAATGAATCTTACAAGCACAGGAAACCTTACCCTTGTCCAGGCTTCAAGAACTTCCATCTCAATATCTTTACGCATAACAGATTTCCAAACATCCATCACTGACTACAAAAGACACCTACAGTTACACCTTGGCAACTTGTGTGTAAACGACAGCTAATGACCTAATTACACAATGTGAGATGGTCGACAACTGTGTGAAATTACTAATAGATCCACTTTATTCTTTCGAGGTAACAAGATTATATATTAATAGCCGCCTGAAGTGAGATATTCTGTACTTCACTCCATCAACTTGTGATATAAAAATATAGGTAGCACTTTACAATAAGGTCTGATTTGTTAACAGTAGTTAATGCATTAACTTACAATTGGTCATATATTTTTTTACAGCATTTATTAATGTTAGACTGAAAAAAAAATTCAATTACACTTTATTTTAAGCTGTCCGTGTTACAGTGTAATTATACATTTAAGTACTGAGTATTAATAATGTACGCACTGTAGGGATAGGTTTGTTTGGTTTAGGATTAGTTGAATGTAATTATGCACAATTTATAGTTGCAGTAACTACATGTCACACGTGTAACAAGGACACTGTAAAATAAAATGTTACCAAATATGAACTAATATTAACAGATGCAATTTTTGATCTTCAAAATGTGTCGCACTTTAAATTAGGGCCCGATTCTCACTATTATCTATGCATTTTGCCTTAATAAACTCCTAATAAATGCTTATTAATAGTTAGTAATGTACTTTAGGTAATAAGATTATAAGAATATGGTTATGCAAAATAAGGCATTATGCATTTTATAAGTACTAATAAACAGTCAATATCCTAAATGTATGGTAATAAGCCACTAGTTAATGATGAGAATTGGAAGCCTAAAGTAAAGTTTTCAACCACTTAACATATAGTTAACCAAAGTTAATAAATAAAACCTCATTGTAAAGTGAAAAATTCCACCACATTCATATTTTAAAGTGTGCTATCAAATTTTTCTTTTTTTAATAAAAAATTAATGACAGTTCAATAGGTTAGTGGGTGAAAGTAAAGTGGGTGAAACCTGATATAGAAAACATCAAATTGATTTTTACATTGGCAGAATTGCTCAAACTCGCTGTTCCCATGGACACCTTCAACTAGTACTCAAAACAAATGAAACTTCTGGAAACCTACTCTTGTTTCGGTGGCATAGTTTTACAGTAGGAAGTCCCATATCACGTTACTCTGATTTAACAGTGTGAAGCTGCTTCAAACAAATGATGCATTGCTTTAAAACAGTTTGTTTCTCTTTAGCAGCTCTAAACTGATAAAATAATGTGTAAAATGTAATATCACGCACGCTAAGAAAGTCTTGTGAAAGCAGAGATGCCATCCTTGACCAGTGAGGAGTGAGCGGACATTAAACTTTAACCTGCTCTATCTCAGACTCATGTAGAAGCTGGTAACACTACAGCTGAGCTCTGGCATGCAGCCGGAGAGGACTAAAGTGGCGTAGGTTAAGTTACCTAATTAAGTTCAATGATTTTTCACCTGGTTTGCATATAGCTGGTCCATTAACTCATCATCAACATACATTCCAAGAGTTTGATGCCTTAAGGGCTTTAAATAAAAAGCAGGGAATGTTATTCTGCGACTTGATACTGAGCATATTATTGATCTCTGTGCCATGAAAGTGCTTGAGGACTCACTTTATAAACACTTATTTGCGAAATAATACTCCGATAACATGTACAGAGAGTATGGTTACAATCAGGGTCCTTGTCAGAAGAGCCATAGAGCATCTTTTATTTTATGAACCGTATTTATTTAAAGTCTCATGGCTGTTAAAGGAGGACTCTAAACCCAATGGCCTAAAGCGTTTTATTTTTTGTTCTTTGTGGGTGTCACTTAGGGAAAAGTGAAATACTGACCGTGGAAGAGGCCAGTGTAAGAGCACTAATTTAACCAGACAACTGCTCGTACACACATTCATCTTTTTCCCTGTAGAGAATCTTGCTCTGGCAAAACACTTCTGCTTTGTGCAGTTGTGATTTGTGTTTTTTCTCTTGTATTGTACTTAATAAAAAGTTAAATAAAACATGATTTCCAAATCAGTACTGTTATCTTGATTCCTAAGTAAACATATCTAATCATCCATAAAGATAAATAACCTTGAGGGGGAAAAAAAATAGTGTTTTGCTTTCAGAGTGTATACCAAAAAGTTGTAATGTATAAAAAGTAAAGTTAAAAAAAAATTCTTACCCTAATCATTTTAGCATACATCTAACAAATTGTATTGATGTTAAAGCTGAAAAAAGAAAGACAGAAAAAGATACCAATGTGGTATGAATAACTTACATTCTCTGAAAACACATTTATTTCTAAAGTAGAATTTTTTTTTGCTTTATATGATTCTAAGACAATACTGATTTTTTTCTTTTTCTGTCAAGAAGTTCAAAAGTTCATCCGTTTTATCTTAAAGAATGATTTTATGAACAATATTAGGGTTTAACAATTCAGTCAATAATAATATAATCTACCTACACATAACTTAAGAGTCAAAACATAACTTTAAAATTAAATATGCGGATACAATTCAGTACAAAAATAAAAGCAGTAAAATGTCTCAATACATAAAATTATTTTCAAACAGTTCAATGCTACAAACACAGTTACAGTTTTGTAACTGCAACACGTATATAAACACGAGAGAGAACATTGGCTGGCCATAGCTTTCCTCTCCATTCATTAAATGGAGTCCACAGAGTGTCCAACATGTTAATTTAGTGTACATCCTGAATATAGAGAACGTCAGAGGGTCCAACTTTAGAACTGAGTTTCAAAAGCAACGGGTCTATATCTTTGGATTGATATGTTCAGCATTGCATTGCATTGCAAATTTTGATAGGCCATGTGCCGGTTACCAAAAGAAACAGGAGATTAAAAGTGACAAGATGTGTTCTGTGAGGTATACCTGTCAATTTTTTTTTTAGGTAAACTGCTGTCATGTAGTCGCAACTGTCACACTCAAACATTCATGAAAGGTACCTTTGGTAAAACTGGATGGTCTTACAATTCTTCCAGTTGTCTTGAAGTTACACGAACCGTTGGCTGAAAAACATCCAGACATTTTTTTTTTCCATTTGTCCATGAGGAACCTCTTTCTAAAGTTAGCAAGATCTGAAAACGTCATGGGTCCACATACAGACCATGTGTCATAGCCAGCATAGCCATCCTCTAAGTAAATGTGCAAATTATGACCTGTAATGAATTGCTCCCCGACACGATCAAGAACTTGTCTCCACGGATAGCGAGATGCGAGGATATAATCCACGTGATCTTCATGGCTATTATCAAAGAAAGACATTTAACAGTTTGTTTTCCTGTATAATAAGGCGTTGTAGAGAACTGCACAATTCAATCAGTGTCCAAGGGACCAAATGCCCGTCACCTTTGTACTTTAACCAGCTGTACTTTAACTTTCTCGCACTGAGCCAAGCGGCGGTCTGGAAAATGTGAATTCTTCCACAGTGTGCTGTTGTTGTTAAATGTTCTGCCTGCCAGGAGCGACGTGCTATGATTTATCTCCTTGAAGAACCTGAAAGCAGACAACATTACAGTAATCAGATAAACGCCCCAGAACACGAAAGGCTTCAAATAGCCATTCAAAAACAACCCGAGATCATGGTTTCTGCACGATTGAGATGGCAAAAAAAAGTAGTTCAGAAAGTCTTTGCATATTTGCGGTTTAGAGATTTCGATATTCTTAGTTTAATTGCTTAGGGCTCTATCTCTTGTTGGCAACGTAAGATCATCCAATATGGTGCAGTTAGATCTTTTCATAGACTCTTCTGTGATGCTGACAAGCATTTGGGTCATGTTTTCTCGTACAACACAGACCACAACACACCAGGGACACATGAAAGGAGCAAATAGTCTCTGCTGGGTATATTCTCGAGTGAGGGACAAACCCTGTCATTTCCAAAACAAGATTACTGTGGAATCTGACAGATGTGAACTCAGAACTAAATACATATGTTGAATGATACTCGACGTGCAGAACTTCATTACTCGAGTTTATTTAAATAGTCCGGTTTACTTCAATGGTTTATGAAAAGTTACCTGAAATCATATGAGTCGCCTCATGTTATTTACTTCTGTGGTTACCGAGCAAAACACAGGAAACTCGGTACAATAACACAAGAAGCACTTTAATTCAATTAACTCGGGCAACTCCAATAACTCAAGGCAATGGATCCAGTCTCACAGTGTTATGAGAGCAAATATTCCTGGCATAACACAGTTAAAGAAACTAAAGCTGAAGAAAACCAGACACTTAAACCGTGATTAATGGGGTTTGTGGTTAAAAAACGAGTAGAATGCGAACGAAAATCTCCTTACCAACCTGGTTGCGTGTTTTGTGAGATTTCTGCAGCCAGACCCGCCACTGGTCATAAAGTTTGATGCTCATTCCGCTGCAACCGTAGGCGTGTTTGCGCACCCAGCCAAAGAACTGCTTCAAGTCCCGCCGCAACGTGGAGTTCTGCTGCCCTGCCTTTGAGTCGCATGAGCCTGTCAGCAGCCGCTCTGCGGGGCAAAAGACACAAATCAACACATGTCCGTCCAGGGAGACAAGCGCCTATCGTGCATGCATCAAGCTTATCACAGATACAGGCCGCAGTTTATACAGCCAACCAAACACAAGTTCGGATAAAAATAAATCCTTTTCCATTTTAAATAAACAGCCGGTTTCTGAGCTCCAGATGTTGGCCGCTCCAGAAGAGTTAATGTGTAGAGGAGTTAATCTGTTAATCTTCAGAAACAATCCTCTGAAAACATATATCCAACACTCCCCGTGGCTCTCTGGCAAGCCACAAAATGAGGAGATGTATGACTAAAGTAATGCGTTGCATGTGCTAGTTGGTGTCTGCTGGACTGAGCATCGTCTCGGAAATATGTATCTGATTATAGGATGGACTGCACGACACATCCAAAATGTGAAAATATGACGAAGGCCAGCGAAGACAACATCTCAATCTGACTCTCGTTGCTACCATTTAACTATAGAGACCCTGGCTATATTTATTTATTTTCTCTGTTTGTTATTAATAACAAAAAGAGACAAATAAGACGGGAACTAATTGGATTTGTATATAAGTTGAGCTGGAATCAGA